AGCTATATTGCTTATAAATAATTAGTTCATATAGTTATAAAGCAGCTGAAAACTATCCTTTAAAAAGAAACATGTAACACTATTTCCCCTTGCTTATAGGATTGTCTTTGATGTCTTAATTACAAGTGATGAAAACTGTATAAATTAGACAAATTTAATAGATGATTTTCAATTTTAGAACCCAGAGGTCATCATTTATTATTTGAAAAGAAATAAAATTATTTTCCTTGTTTTTGAGGAGCTAAGAAGAACAGCAAAAAATGCACTGGAGTAAATGGCCCTGGCAATTCCAGCAAATCAGTACACTCACAAGAAATAGACAAACTAATTACAGTATGTAAAAAGCACTTTACAGTTTGCTCAAAATTTTTAGTGGCTATCCTAATTCAATAAATATATACTAAAAATAAAAAAAAATTAAAGCCAAACTTATGTTTAACTTTTTAATTCATTTTCTTCATTCTAAACTGTCCAATTAATGCTCTCATGGCTTTATAGATTTCCCAAACATATTTCTCAGTTTGCCCAAGACATAATAATACATCTCATAAAGAAACTAAAGGGCCTTGTTCCTTCTTAAGGTGTTTTACAAATTAAGTTGGTATAAAGGGAAGAAAACATTTCTAAATAAGGTAATAAACCTCAACATTGATACACGTCTGGACTCAGATGTACTTGTACAGAACTGTAAAGATAAAATGGTCACCACAGTACATGTAAACATCTATTCAGATTGATAGAGAGCAAACCAAATGACAGGATGATATTATTAACAGTCGTCTCCAGACAGGACAAACAGGGCTTGCTCGTGTAGTCACAAAGCTAAATTCAGGCAGTGATGTTCTCTCTCTGGTGGAAAAAGAAAACACTCATTAAAAAAAAAAAAATTTTAAATAAAAAGAATTTAAAATTCAAATCACAGTATTGAACTATCTCTAACTTAATAAAACATTTTTTAAAAATCTACGTGAGAAGAATTAAAATGAAAGTTACAGACAAATTTTATCAAAGATTACCCTCAGGCTAAAGGGATTTTAACAAAGCCTCACTGTATCATGCCTTCTGAAAACATTAAGTGTCAAGATCACAGCACTACAAAACAGCAATTATTCAAATTTGGGAGTGAGAAAATTTACTAAATGGTCAGGTGGTATTTTTATATAGAACTGTGAGTAGGCAAAGAAATTTTAAAAAATTGTCACTATAAATAAGCCAAAAGTAAATTTCTTAAAAAGTGTCCCAACGATTTTCAAAATAATTAAAAGAATACCTTCCATTCCAAACAGAGATCACTTAGTTCTTTAATCATTATATATGACATAAAATTCTACACCAAGCACCAAGTGCAACAACAAAACTTTAAAAAGGAACACATGAGACAGCGCCTGGCATACAGAGGAGGACTGGCTTTAGATGTGGGTCAGATCAGTGGATGAAATAAAGAAATAGAGGAGAAATTTAGAAAAGATCAAATATAAAGTTGATATAAAAGTAAAAGAACATACTTATTAAGTAACAAGCACAAAAAAACTAACAGACTACATAGAAGTTATTAACACGTTCGGCATTTTTTACTAAGCATGTGTGCTTTCATTAGAAATAGCTGACCATTGCAATCATGTCGAGCAATGTTTTCCTTTCCTAAGAGAACTGCGCAGCTATTTAAAAGGTTGTGTTCCACTTAAGTGTATGTATAAGACAAAAAACAATACCACTCTTTTCTACAGGACTGGATCCATATTGCTCTTTAGTTCAAGGGATAGACAAAAGTGAGCTTCTACTATTTAGGAGAAGTATGTCTTCTTTCTGCTTTATCGGGATTTTATACTGGGTAGTATACTGGTGGTTTAAAATCTGTAAGTAAATGTCCATTTTCAGTTACTGAATTTTAGAAAAAAAAAAAAAGTCCTGGAAGAAAAAAAGTTTGAGTATTCCAGAACTTCTTTAAGAACAATCCTGTTTTGAAGGTTTAAGTGACTTTTGGGGGGTATGGGACTTATATCAATGCTAAACTAATTAATTAGCTAAAGCTACTTTTCTATAATTAGCCTATATTCAGTGTGAGGAGGGATATATTTTGATAAAATCTGCGTAGTACTGTGATACAGCCACTAATATTTCAACAAACCAAATAGGCAAACGTTTGATTTTTTTTGTGTGTCATTATACCCAATAATGGTTAGTGTTGCAAGGAAAATGGAATGCATCCCCTCCCTCTTCCCACTCCCCAGGAAACAGTCCTGGTAACAAGAGACTTTCTTCAATGAGGCTTAGCCATACTTGCTACAAGTAACCAGCTAAAACAGTGAAGTCTTATCTTCATAGTAACTACTGGTTTGTTACATTTGACCATATTACAATAAAACAGAACCTATGGAATAGGAATACTCTTTTATTTCCTGGAACAACTTTTCATTAAATGTCTGGGCAGCAGTTACTTATTTGATTTTAAAAAAAAGTTACAATTATCCAATAACATTTAAAACATTGTTTAGAGATAAAAAAAATGCAATGTGACAACCATCCCTTGAGGTAATCCTAATCAATCTTTTAACCAGAAATATATAATTTCCCCTGTAGTTGCCTACATCGCCTTTTGTCTTTCTCCCACTCCCAACTATACCTGTACAACCAGATAACCATGTGTGTACAATAAAGCAGCAAACTGATCAGAACAGCTGTAGAATTAAAAAGGTTTCTACTTTTAGGTGGAATACTGTGGAAGAATGGAGATGGAAAAAAATATAAATCTGGATGTGTTGAAAAAAAGGAAACAGATAAACAGTTTTTAAAAATGTTTGAAAGCAAAGAAAAAAGCTATAAATGGGAATAGGAAGAACTTGTAAATACAGAAGTTTACTTGCATGTTATAGGCTAATGCAACGTGTGCTGGCAAATGCAAGCATTTGGAGACATATACACAAAACTTTAGCAAGAGAAGTGTATGAACTATTGTAATCAAATCTAAGTTGTTACACTGATGAGAGAAATATCAGAGAGGAATAACTGGCTTAGATATAAAATTGTTTTAAAAATACTAATCTATCACCGGGCACTGGGGTGAAAAAGAGACTTTAGAGGTCCTTCCGTCCAATCCTTTTCATTTTATGAATATGGAACAATCTCTGGATAAGGCTACAAAGTTAAACACAGAGATGAGAACAAAAGCTCAATCTATTAATCCTTGTTCAGTTCTCTATGCTAGGTCACCTGTGGACCAATTTAGTGAGAAGCTCTAGATTGGTGTTCTCAGAATTTCTAACCAAGTACTCTTAATTAAAAAAAAAAGAGAGACGAATTAACTCCTGGAAATGACTATAATACTTGCTTAATATTATACAATCTAGAGGACTGAACTGGGGAAATGTCAGAATTGATTCTAGATATCTACCTCCATCGCTACTTGTAACCCCTGTGATGAGATACATAACACTGTCATTTAATAAAATGGCCCCAGTGACTGAGGAGACTATTAGATTTTTAGAAAATTGATAAGAATTAACAAGGGAGGTAATTGTCAACCTCATTACTATAAATTTAAATATCCATTCATTCATTATTTCATCCAGCAAACATCTAAGTGCTCATATGAGCCAGGTTTTACTATAAGCACTAGAGATAAAAAGATGAATAAGACATGGTCCCCTTCCTGGAGGAGCTTGCAATCTAGTGGGGAAAGACAGACATATAAACCAGATAAATTATATTACAACATTAAATTTTATAACAGAGATATGAACAAAGTGCTTTTTAAAAGGCTAAAACATGAACTGCCTAAAGACCAAGAAGTCCACTAATTCTGTGCAGTATTTTGAGGTAAAGTCTATCATGGTTTTCACAATCTCATGGTTGATCAATAATTAGGAAGGACACAGCAGCAGAGTTCTGTGATTTTTTTTTCCTTTTTGAAAAGTTGGTACTAAAATCACAATGTTTATATTAAGAATACAGTACTTCCACTTACTCACTGTGACTTTAGGTAAACCACTTCATTTTTCTAACAGCCTGTTTTCTTATTAGAAAAACAAGAACCACCATCTACTTTTAAAAGATGTCTTAGGTTTTAAATGAAAAAATGTGTACACAGAGTGCTAGTATTTAGAAACACTTTCATGAATTAAAACTCAATAGCAATTCATCACTAGCATTTATGAATAAATGCAGATTAGTGCTTATTAAAGTACAACTGTGAATCTAGTGAATACTGGGAATATGTAATCCTCATACTAGAGGACCAAAGAGTCATATTTGGTCTTCTGATTCATTCAAAGCACCAACTTAAAATATTTAAATTCTTAAGTTATTAGGCAATTTCAGGCTAGAGAAACTGATGAGCTATTTATGAGCTTAACTGAATAGAACTGGTAATTTCAGTTACATTTCTAGGGAAATTTATAATAAATTTTGAAACTATCATCAAACCATAAAGCCAAAAATAGAATGGAGATTTAACTGGCCTTGGAAAGATTTACTTTCTTTATAATACCTGTTTGGTGTAAAGAGAAGAAACGTGAGCCTCTGCCAATTTGGCATCTTTCACGACTACTAAAAAGAAAAGAAAACAAACTTACCTAATGAATCAGAATAGCACACAGTAAACATACAAGAAGCTACATAAAAATATACCACAGTCTAAGTAAACTTAAAGTCATTATTTTAGCAAATGGAACCTGAGCCTGAAATTTTAAATATAATTGTGTACTAACTGCAAATCAAACATTCCTATAAAATATTGGCATTAAAAAAACATACAACTATAACCCCAAGTGTAAGGGGGAAAAGACACAAGTTATATTAAGGTCAAAGACTGGTACTGGTGAAATTAGTTTTTGGTTGTGTTGGTCCCCAAATGGAGAAAGGAGTTTTGTTAAAATGTGGTTTAAAAGAAAAAAAAAAAATCACTATAATCTTAAGAAGTAGCAATACTTGAATATAAAGATTTGAAAAGATATAGTAACCTAGTAATCTTCTACCCTCACCCTCATTCTATAAAGAATATATTTTCTGTAAACAGTTTAGTTAACTTTCAATAATTATATTCACGTGATAGAGAAATTCACTTTAAAAAGTCACAGTATTGTTGCAAATGTGAAAGATTTTTATATAAGTATAGTAAATGCACACTTAAAATATCAGACTGGAACACTTACCAAACAGTGTTTTCCTAAAGTAGTATCTACAGTACATTTCTTTATTCATACATCTTCAAATGGTCAAGTTTTCTCTCATACATCCAAAATGTAATATGAAGTTGTCTTATTCACCAAATGTTAGCGCTACTTGAAGTCTGGTTCCAAACTAATCAGCCTGCTTTTAAATTTTAAGACATCTGTTGAAAATTTATATGATCAAACCAAACTGAAGTGGTATAAATTTTAAACATTGGATTGCACATCATTGTAAAGGTACCAGTAACCATTATTGTTTAGTGATTATAGCTCCTTTTGATCGTTAGGGGGAAGGCAGATCACCATCTGGAATGGTCTGTTTCATTTCTCTTTTTTTTCTTTTTTTTTTCTTTTTTCTTTTTTAAAATCAAGGAACATTGTCATGAATTTTTTCTTTGTCATTGCTTTTTTTTCTTTTCTTTTTTCTTTTAAGAGACCATTCCACTTTATTTTTAGCATCCAGATGCATAAGGACTCATGTAAAGCAGTCATACACCATTATCATTAACACCCATGTGAGAAGATACATACACAAATCCAACAAGCGGCTAGTACACAGTAAAGCCTAAGCACACGACTATGCAATATGATGAATACATAACTTGAGACTTAGTTAGCGTACTATGTCATCTATTCATTTTTGAAAACATTCATTAAGATTTTAAATGCAAATTCATTCCTTATTTGGAGTAAGACAAAATCCTCTATGTTATAACAAGTATTGGGTCATAAGTATTCAAATCTATTCATTAATTTACAAATAACACAAAGAATTCTGTAATGTTCAATAGAAGTATGTAATAAAAACATTGCATATGTCCTATTGTGATGTCTTTAGCAATCGTTTACTGAAATAAAATGCAAACATCAATCTTCAAAATACAAGATCAGAAGGTAGTTTTCTTCTCTTTTATCTATTTGTGAAATCCATCGTCATCATATTTTACCAAAAATTGTTTTTACAAATATGTAAAAGTACATTAGATAATACTAATGAAACACAGGTAGAGTTCTAGCAAATGCAGATCAATGATCAGTCAAATCATCTTCTCCAAGAACGAGATTCATTGTCCTCTTCTTCTTCGTCATCATCTTGAAGTAATGAGTCATCCACCAAAGACTCTTCCTGAAACTTTAGGTTAAGATGTATTTAGGAATTTACCCAAAAAAACAAACAAACAAACAAACAAAACAAAAAAAAAGAAAAAAAGAAAAAGAAAAAACAAAAAAAAAAGAAAGAAAAAAAAATAACACTTTTAAACACTGTTCTCTCTCACGAGTTGAACACAAAATGGTTACTTCTACAGCTAGAACACTTAAGAGAACAAAGTAAAGCAGCCTTGTCCATTTCATCTCTCTACAGTACCTGGTTTACTACTCACATGAAGTGAGCAACAAACATCAAAGGAAGTAAGCTTCAATACATGCCACGTCTCCTCTCTAACAAATCATGCCACCTGCTGCACTGCAAAACACTGCTCAGGGCTTCTTTTAAAAAAGAATACATTTTCACTGATTTACCCTAACTCTCAACACTCACCAAGTTATAAAAACCCTACTACAATTTCAATTGACTATATATGAATATCTTAAAAAAAAAAAAAAGAAATTAAAAAAAAAAAAGCAAAAACCTCTGTCTTTTTCCCATTCCCTTCACAAAAGTTTCTCAGGCTGCTTTCCCAAACTTTTCAAAATACCTAATACCAGGAGCTCTCCTGCTTTTCTCCCCATTCAATTCAAACTCATGGAAGGACATAGGTATAATCTAAAATATAAAATGACAAATCATGTACATGAGTTTCAAATACACATTTATTCTTGCATTTGACTATGGATATGCGTAACAGATTTGAAATGCTCTGCAAACAAAGTGAAGCAGAATTATGGAATCTAACAAATGTAAAACAATCTTTTAATTTCTTTACCTTACCTTATTTTTACTTCTTCAAATTTTTTATAACTATTTTCATGATTAAGAAAATCAGAACTGTGTATTTTAAGTCTTTAGGGCTTTTTAAATTCACTATCCCTTCTTATCCTGCCATATCTTTTATCCTAGTAGCTAGGGTTACTTGGAAAAATTGCAATCTCCCGTGTCTATCCTGATGCTAGAACTCTTCTGAAAGTGCCTTTTACTTTCCTAGCCCTAGCATATAGGTACAGAACACTACTTTATTATTCAGGGCTCGGCTCTATTGGCAATAGACCTTTAAGATTATTATAGACAGACACAATCATTCCTTGCTGGGGGTTCCCACAGCATGTTGTTCAAATCTGCATTCGGCACATCAGTATGCCTGTCACTGTAATTTGTTTCTTCTGTTTCTGCCACCACCCTCCTTTCCAGATTATAAGCTCCTTGATGATAGGGACCGTGTCTTATTCATTTTGTGCCTATCACAAAATCTACCACATAACAGGTAGTCACTCTAATGAACTAAAGCAATATGAATTTTAAAAGAAGGCTGAAATGTTGATACAGCAATTAAGTAAAATAAATACCCTAGAATTTAACATATTATTACAAGATTTCCTGTGGATAAAAATCTAATGAATAATTATTATCTTCTACAGTAATTGAAAATTGATATATCACATGTTATTTTGAGGTTAGCAATCCACAAGTCTTCTCATTAATCCAGAAAATATAAAGTTGTCTGCATTTATCTGATCTCCCCTGTCTGGAATATGGTTTAGGAATAAAATATTATGTTAAAATCACAGCCATTTTAAAAAAAAATCAACTTTTATAAATGAACTATGAATAATGATGGGATAACAAGTGAAAAAAAAAACATACTTCCTCTTCATCAGGTTCAACCTCTTCAGTTTCCACAGCTGACATATTAGTTATTGGTTTATTCCATGCCAGTTTTAAATCCTGCCCTTTGAAGCGAGCTCCATGAATTGCAGCCTAAAACAATTAAGAATATGGGAGTAAAGAACATCAACAATTTCTAGTGAAAAATTAAAATTGTTAATGTCTAATATTTAAAGAACTAAACTCAAAGACTGTTGCCTTTTGTTTTGCTACTTGGTCACTTAGTCTCAATTTACTGTTACAATTACTACTTTATAATTATTTATTTCTTAAAAATCATACTAGTGATATACAATGTTTTTAAAGTAAACAACAATTTCTCATAATCAACTATCATTTCACTCCTAGCCAAAATTTGAGTAGGAAAAAAATTACAGTAAATTACAACTTACTGATAACTACAATCCCACTACACATCAACATTTTGGCTCTAGCTTCTAAACCAATATCTATTTTAAGATCAACAGAGCAAATGAATTTTACATGCTATATAGTAATTAACTAGAAATCTTTAACAAAAATAAATTTGCATATAAAAATGTCACATTTTCAAATTAATGATCAAAATCACTGCAAAGTGATGCATAACTAATGCAGAACTATATAAACACCTTAACAAATGGGAAAGGTAACAACTCTACAACTCTGAACTTTCCTACAGAAAGTACAGTACTTCCTATAAAAACACTTTATAACTCATGACAGCTGATTCAAGGAATGGTCAAGCCTAAGTTCTTCCTAAAGTTAGCAGCTGCTTTGGAAAATGCCACATTTAAAGTAATGTGAATGGACATAAATCAGTGTTAGTAACATTTTAAAATAACTCTTGGTCCCAAAGATATAAAACTCAAAAGTACAGAATATGGAGTGTAGAAACAATTACATATTCAATGACATTTGAACGAGTTATGTGTGGTATTAATGCTCCCATGTACAAATTTTAAATCTGTACATATAAATTTATCAGAAATTTAAAAGACTTCATGCCTATTAAAATTCAGCTTAGTTTTTAGTTAATGCTTAATCACAATGCAACACAATTTTAAAACATACATTGAAGCTGGAATCATTACATAAAGTATATCAGATACTCTTAAGAAATGACAAATGTCACATACAAAATATTTCTAAAACTTTTTTTCCTATTTATTCAAAAAAGGAAATGTAAAAAGAACAAAACTGTGACCAGCAATGTCTATAGTAAATCTGGGTGTGGAGTTGTTTTTGCTTCTTAAAATAGGTCTTTGTTGTGTACACCATACCTAGACTCACCATCCTCCTGCTTCACCCTCCTACTCAATAGCAATATAATTGTTTAACACTACAATAACAGCTCACTGACAAAAATGTCTAATGACCTAATTTTATCCATTTCTATATTCAACACACATTCAACATTCAAATTTGTAAGGTGAATTTTTAACTTTATATAGTTTTAACTTTTTTTTTAACTGGAGGGAGTCTCAAAAGACCTTGAAAACATTACCAATGCCATAGCTCTTGAGTACTGCAGTGACTCCATGATAAGACTCCATTGCTGAAGATAACTACATACTTTGACTGCAGAACAAAGAGATTGATCCAAAAGCTAATTCCCTGATGACTAGTAGAATGCTGAAAGACAACTATGTAGGCTGCTGAGGAACAGATGACATCAATGGTCTTCCTTATCACTGGACTCTGCATGCTAATTCTGACCTGCCAGGAAACATATGCCTATTGGTATAATAGTGGCAAGACTACTACAGGGAAATTACTTGCTTTCTAGTTGGACTTCAGGCTACTCTACAGGTGGGAATTGCATGTCTGGTACTGTAAACTGGACAAAAGTTCATGGCTGGGAAGGTGAGAAGTCCTTGGATGGAGCCTACTGTTAAGTTTGTTCAATGGTCACACTGTCAAATCGCACCTGAAATATTTTGCTCATATTCACAGACCAAGGTTGCTCTCAACCTTCGTCAGAAAAGCTTCTTTTGGCAATAAAAATAAGCTAGTAACTGGTCAAAGTGCTGAGAATCAAAGATTGAGTGTACTCAATCTTTAATGGGACATTTTTATCACCCCCACGCCCAGACACCTCTCAAGGAACATTGTGTAAGAAAATGTTAATGCTGGAGGATGACAAGTGTGTGAAACGTTGTCTGTCTGGACTTGACCCCACAGCAGCTCTGATTCCTTGCTCAAAACCAAGACAGCCCAAAGTCCCCCGCAGATAAAGTATTCTCCAGATCTCACACTGACTCAGAAGCTATCTGCAGTTGAAAGTTGCTAGGGAAGCAAGAAGCTTTTTTTATTGAGGATAGTGCTACTGCCAGGTTTCCCATTCTTCTGTTGGTAATCTAACATTCATATACATATGGGCAGCAGTAATAGGACAGAATCGGGTTATCAAAAAAAAAAGACAAAAAACAGGTAATGATTCTATCAAGTTAGAAGGACTTGTCAGGAAACCTGGTCAAGTGCCAGGTTTCTACCCATGTCTACCTCCCCAGTAAGGAGATTACAGACTTCCACTTGCCATGGCTAGAGCAGGAGATAGGTCCTCATGTCTTCCATAATAAGCACTTTATTGTCTCAGCCATCTCCAAAGGTACTTCTGCTTTAGATCTGTCTCTGTCGTGTGTGTGTGTGTGTGTGTGTGTGTGTGTGTGTGTGTGTGTATGTACAGATGCCACAAAGGCCAAAGGAGGGTGTCAGAACCCCTGACGCTGGAGTTATGATCTGCTACGTGAGTGCTGTGAATCAAACTTGAGTTTGCTGAAGTGCTCTTGTTGCTGAGACATCTCTAATCTTGCTCTGAGTTTTTCTGAGGAAAGGTCGGGGTTTTGTGAAGCCAGGCTGTCCTCGGATTTCCCATAGACTTTAGCTAACAGATATTTTGTTTTTCAGTTTGAACTTAAATTTTAAAACTTAAAAATGAGATATAATGCCTTGATCTTTGTTGTCATCTTTGTGGGTTGCTCCCCAACCCCCAGTCAGTTGCCCAAATAACCATTTAATAATGTTTTATTTTGTGCTCCCCCACCCTGCACCCCTGAGACAGGACTTCTCTGTTTAACAGCTGTGGCTTTCCTGGAACTCCCTCTGTAGACCAGGCTGGCATCAAATGCAAAATTCCACCTGCCTGTCCTATCCCAGTGCTGAGATTAAAAGCATGTGCCAACACTTTATTTTATGCTTTTAAACAGCTCTTGTGTGAGCCTTTAAAATTCATATATATGCAGTAATGTTATTCTTATAGTAGTTTTACCTTGAAGTATAATTGGGTATAGAAATGTTCATTGAATTGTCTACAAAAATGGACCAGAAAATAAGGCCATTAGCAAAAGTTGAACTTCCTTTTCTCAAAAATACCAACCCTTTATTTATCCTGTATCCATGTTGTCTTACACTTTTATGTAAGAATCTTTTTTATTTTATAAAATGCTGATGAAAATAAGTGGCAAACATTTATTTTATATTCTTTCTTAGGCAAACAAAATGTTTCATTTTTATCTCTGTGAGTGTAGACCAGGCTAGGCTGGCCTTACACTCATAGAGATCTGCCTGCCTCTGCCTCTGGAGTGCTGGAATTAAAGGCGTGTGCTACAACCACCTGGATCAAAAAAAAGTCTTAAGAAGACTTAGACAAAGAAGAGCCAGACTTAGATCTTAGATCTGGAGGTGCAATGAAGGGGTAGAGAGCTTGTTTAAAATGCTCAAAATCCTGAGCTTAATCTGCAGCATCAATGAACAAAAGCCCTGATTTTAAAAGATAACTCTAATATCGGGAACTCCTATTTTGCAAAATAATCTCCTCATGCTAATATCTTCACCCCATAACAAGATTATTTCAGGGTTCCAGCTGAACACAGTATTAAAACTAATGAGATCTAATCTTTCCCCTGTTAAAATGCCCTGAAAGAAACTTTATAAATAAGCTCTTAGCAAGCTTCAATTATGCTGGCAGGTGTGTTCACTTAAAAGCATGACATAGCAACTTAGGTATGTCAAAAAACTCATTTGACTATCAACTTAAAAACTTCACAAAGACATCTTCATCTTCCATTCACATATGCTTAATTATTTTGATATAAAAGCAATGACAAATAGTTAACATTGTCTTTATAGTGTCTTAACAAATCCACAGGGCAAAAAGCTCACCCCAACCCCCAACACACATACATCCTTTTCCCTGCTACTCTTTGGAGCTATCTTGCAGGATAAAGTCCTTTCCACATAAACACGAGGACAGAGTTCAGACCTCTAGTACCCATGTAAATGCCAGGAAAGCATGACAGTAATTACAGAAGTAATCCCAGCATTAAGGGGATCCTTACATCAAGCTGAACTCAGTGAGAGTTGCTCTTCACAAGCACACACATGAACACACATGTAGGCATACCCACAGACCTGTGATCACACAATGTAAAAAATGCATGCATGCATATACACACATATACATTGAAGATACTTCTGGGCTTTTAAAAGACAATTCAAGTGCACATGCCTTTAATCCCAGCACTTGGAAGGCAGAGGCAGGTGGATCTCTCTGAGATCAATACCAGCCTGGACCACCCACATAGTGGCCAGCCAGAGCTACACAGCAATACCTTGTTTCCAACAAAACAAACCAAAACCATACAACAACAAAAATGACAATTCAAAGCATATAGATTATACAGATTAAGATAATGATATTACAAGGACTTTAATAGCTGGAGCCTCATATTGTCACTTAAATAACAGCAGTCTAGTCAGAAGTTTGGTATAAGATAGAGATGCTTCTCTAGAACTAAAGGATAAATAAAAGGAGTGGGCAACAGAACTATACTTTCATCTACATCTACCTTAGATAACTTTTAGCATTCATTCTACTAATTCAGACTTTGTTCTGGGCCAGAGAAAATAGTAAACACTAGAAAGAATGGTGGTTCTATGTAGTGACAATTTTAGAATTTTGGCCTCTTTAAAAAAAATACAGAAATAACATGTTTTCCTTTTAATCCTGGGTCTGACACTATGAGACAGTCAGAAGCAGCTGATTATGATTTGACTTTGCAAGGGGAAGGTGGTTTCTACAACTGTGTGACGTGTGGAATTCTGGGTCATCAGAGAGTATAGAAATCTAGGACTCCAAGAGGTGGGGTTGGTGGCTGGTGGTGGTTGTGCTGTGGTTTGTGTGTGTGGTATGTGTTGGCTGTGGTTTGTTAGTAGTTGAGTTCGGAAAGAAATTAGATTCAGGGATCTAGCTCTCTCAGCCTCGCTCTCTCTCCACTATCCTTCTTTTCTCTCCTATATAGTGAGAGTGAGTGAAACTGTTGGGAAAGGGTAAAAAAAGAAGAACCTACAAAGTACAAAGACCCGCTCCTTTAACCTCTGTAAGAAGAACATATAACATGTTCAAGTTAATATATCTTAAAGTCAACTTGGTGTCAAATTTTATACATATTATATTTATATTATTACAGATTTCCTAAGAAAATAAGAATATTTTTGTGGGCATAAATTTGCACTTAAAATATTCTACCTTCTGTCAGTACAGTTACTTAGTAATCTGAAAAATAATTTATATTAAAACTTAAGAAAGGGCTGGAGAGATGGCTCAGCAGTTAAGAGCACTGATTGTTCTTCCAAAGGACCTGAGTTCAATTCCCAGCAACCACATGGTGGCTCACAACCATCTATAATAGGATCTGATGCCCTCTTCTGGTGTGTCTGAAGACAGCGACAGTGAGCTCACATAAAATAAATAAATAAATCTTTTAAAAAAAAAAAAACTTAAGAAAATACTGATCAATTAAATCTCAAGTTTTAACAAATTATTTTTATACTTACTGCTTCTGCTTCTGCTCTTGTCTTGAATGTAATTATTGCATGAAGTGAAGAGTCATCAATCTGACAATCCTCAATTTCACCAAATTGCTGTAAATTAACAAATTATTTCCTAAAAGTGTTTTGAAACATCTAAAACCCCCAAGGGCATTAAAAGCGTAATGAACATAATCTAGAATTCCTAATTATCTATCATGAGACAAATAACTCATTACACTTAGTCTTATCTTCCAAGCTCATCTCTAATCCTATACTTTCCAGAATTAGCAACATTCAAATCTATTTGAGTTCTAATGAATGAAACACTGGTTAAAGTCTTATTACTCCAACCTCAAGACAAGGTAGATTTGTTCTTAAACAGCGTACTCAACCATCAGAACAAACCATGAAATTCTAGAATCATTTCCAATAAAAGGAGGAAAAGGTTCAGAGAACTTAAGCAATTTTTACAATTAGTCAAGCAAATTACGAAAATGAAGATACAGGACTTTACCTTACAAGTTTAACTTTGACTAAAACGGGTTCACGTACTATGCATTACACTATGGCAAACAAAATTTAGAATCCTTAAATACTAAGCGTATTGCATTGTGCCTGATCAGAGTTTGTTGCTTTTTACCCCCACATAAAGATTTGTGTAAACAGCAATTTTACCATACAAGAATTAGTCCTTTATACATTATTAATATTTTTCCTTCTCATTCCATAATAAAACTACAACCATATACTAATTAAAACTACTTTAAACTTGAACAAGTTATTTAATTTCTTCAAGGTTTTATTTCCTCATCTATAAAATGGGCACAATAAAGGTTATTCTTAGTGTCAATTTGACTACATCTGGAATTAACTAAAACCCAATGGCTGGTCACACCTGTGACAAAATTATTAATTAGATTTATTTGAAGTGAGAATAAACACTTTTTGGGACCTGGATCTTTGAGGTAGGATATATATCTTTAACCCAGATATTCTGTACAAAGTTATACCTTTAATCTAGACCACACCTTCCGCTGACAACCTATATAAAAGATATGAAGACTGAACAACTACTAGAATCCTCTTCATTAGTATAGGCAACCACTGCTGTCCTAGCTGGAACATTCTAATACATCTTCTTTCCTTTCTCTCTCTCCCCCTCGCTCCCTCACCCTCGTCCTATGTGGACCATTCTAATAACTCTCTCTCTCTCTCTCTCTCTCTCTCTCTCTCTCTCTCTCTCTCTCTCTCTCTCTCTCTCTTCCCCCACCCCGTGTGTGTGTATGTGTTTATGTGTGTGTGTACATAAAATCATTGTAAGTTCTAGTCTTCTAGAGAAACCTGACCAAATCAGTGTTAATTCAAATTATTCCTAATATCCCCTTTAAGTTTTAGCTGTTTTTATTACTACTATTACTGGTCTCCCTAGATAAAAATTTAAAAGCATTTTGCTAACCACAGTTGTTTTAGCTTCCTGTGCTTAGTGATAAAAAGATGAAAAAGCTAAACTCTGAAATGTGTACCCTTGCTTTACACTAGTATTTTTCATGTATAAATTTCAACTAACTTTGAGAACTCAAAATCTCCGCTTATGAACAATTCTCAGAAAGAAATGAATATTTATTTCTCAAGCCTCTTAGTCTCAGCAAAACATGATTACAATGAACTCACCTTGTTTGGATTATTTTCACACTTGATTGCTACCCCTAAGTAGCTGAGTACCTGTATGCAGGGCACTTAACTGTCTGGATCTCCTTTCCTTTGCAGAAGTGGGAACAGAGCAGGGGAGAGCTGGGCTTTATCTCCAAGCACCTTTCTAGTTCTCATTCTCTATCCCTCTGAATCCAACAAGCACAGGACTCTCCAGGCTACCCACTGGGTAGATATTAATCACTTTAGTTACTTCTTACACATCAATCATTTCTTTTATAACTTCCTTATATTCAGATAGAGCATTAACTATTAAGCTGGGAGTGTCAAACCCTAAGATATAAACTTCTAAAAAGACAAAGTCACTTTATACCACTTACAAGTTTACCTATTCTTCTAGTTCTCCATTTCAGTTTTACTAATTGTTGAACTTCCCTCTCTCATCTCTGTATCACATGCCAGGGGTAAACGTACTCCTCTCAGTCCCTGAGCTGTGTTTAATAAGCTATAGTTTATCTTAACGGACTTGTGTAAAACCAATCTATCTACAAGAAGTGAGAGTAAAGATCCAGTGATTCTTCCTCCCTCTGAAGTACTACCAGAATACCCATGCTCAGTAACTTAAGTCAGGGCAACACCACAAACTGAAATAGGTAAGATCAAAGGGGAAGGTGGGTATAATCTCTACTCTGCACATTAGTCTAATGAAGCCCAGAAGTCCAAATAAACAATGGGTGGTTAGGGACTAGAATCTGCTTCTCTTCCAAGCTACTCTATGGCCACTAGATAAACTCTCTTAAATTGTATCATTGGTCTGAATAAGGCAACTTTTATATCACACATCAAAAGTAGATCTTGCTTCAGTCCTATTCAACTCTATCAAGAGTGTATTAACAAAACTTCAGTTTCATATTTACAAATCTGAATGTTTTATATAAATGCCAATTTTTCCTTAAATTATCAATATAAACCTACTTTTGAGGTTCCTCTCTAAAACAATGAAGTTTAAAATCATGAACCTTACAGTATTTAAAGGCACATGTAGTTTAACAATAACATTTCAGGCAGTCAGTGAGTTTGAGGCCATCCTGGTCTACCAAAAAAAAAAAATTGTAACATTTCTCCCAAACAAAAAGACCCTGTTTCTATTTTATAACTAAAAATGAAACACTACTATAGATTATCACTGAATCTAAATTACATATGTCATTTTCCTAACTTTTTCTTTACTTGCATCTATTAACCTGAGTAACAATTATTAATATTATTTTGCTTTTTGGCAAGAAAGTACCGCAAAATGAGGAAGAAGATCTTCTCTATCACTCTCTGTGAATGCAGAGATCTCCAGTGCTCTGGGCCGGTGATCCACGACAGCATGCCCGGGCATGCCTCGACCTCGACCTCGACCCCTTCCCCGTCCATGAGCTGCACCTCGACCTCTTGTATGAATTCCTCTACCTCGACCAGATGAAAGAATTCCTCTTTTAGCAGCCTAGAAGGGAAAAACCACACAGGTCACACAATGTGGTAATTAGGCATTGAGATCTCTAGTCTGAAATGCCCAACTGTCCGTTTCTGAGTTTAGAGTTTCAAATTTTGAAATATTTGCAATGATTTTACTTGTTGAACACACCAAGTTTCAAATTAGAAATACAACAACTGTGTTAACTCAAGCCAAGTGTTATATCTTGGAAAATGATTCCAACTTTCAAGCTGTTTGAGATAGTATTTTGATAATCACGTAACATTAAAAATTCTAAAATAACTAAATGTACTCCCTGAAAATATTTAAAATATAACAACTTTAAAAAATATTTACAATTTCATTACATTATTTTGTGTCTCTTTCTACCATATAGGTTCCAAGGAAAAAATTTGAGTCATCAGGTCTGTCAGCAGCAACTTTACACACTGAGGCAACTTGTCTGTCACCTTACCCTTCTTCCCTCTCAAACTAAGCTCATACTCTAAGACATCAAAACACATGACAAAAAGACTGGTAACCCTGGATCTCTTAATAACACAGAATGCTGGACATCACTTCAAAAGTCAAGTTAATACAGACTACAGCATAACCTACAGACATAATAAACATATTTTTACACTGAACTATACTCTTGACTTTTCAAGTTTTATCTAATTTTCAAATAAATGCTTTAGTTTATTATCTGTTGACTTAGCTGATGTAAGTTTTCCCAAATGCATTGTTTTGATCACATCATAGAACAAAAACAGAATATTAATACTCTACCACATAATTTCTTCTGTGTAGTGCACCATTCCTTCACTCCACAAACATTCTATAGACACTTGTGTTAGCAGCCCTTGACCTCAAGAGCAATTTCAGGTTGTGCAATTGGCACAGTAATTAAAGTGCTTACATGCAAGCATTGAGGACCTAAGGTCAATCCCAAACACATAGTAAAGCCCTAATGCACATCTGTCATCTCAGCAACTGGGGAGACATAGAGAGGGAGATCCCTGGGCCTTGCTAGCCAGCCAGGGCCAGACTAGCCAAATCAATGGGCTCCAGACTCAGTGAACTCTTCCCCCACTCCAAAATGGAGCTTGAGGGCTACACTCAACATTAACTTCTGTCCTCCAGCCTCCACACGTGCATTAGTACCTGCCCACACATGCAGCGTACACACAAATACATAAGTGCCAGACGCACAAACTCAATTCCTAGACAGGTAAATTACTGAGTCATTCTTACACAGGACTTGGGTTCAGTTTCATGCACCCACATGGTGCTTGACAGTCCCAGTGGATCCAATATCCTCTTCTGGCTTCCATGGATGCAAACCATGCATAGAGTACACAAACACATACGCATACTGGCAAGCATTCATTCAAAGATAAATTGTGGGTGTAACTCCTCTAAAATGTGGCGATTAGCTGGATGTGAAGGGTAAACAAAGGCTGGAATCACACAAGACTCCTTCCACACTTCTAGTTTGGTAACTATATATACAAACTTTAGAAGCAAGATAAACACAATGATGAACATGCTGATGAGGTTATATGGAAACCAAGTACGAACATCAAGTCCTAATATTACCAAAAATAAACATAGAATCAAATAATAAGGGTAATGGAATAAGCCAAGCACAGAAGGACAAGCACTGTTAGAGTACATTTACACACTAAGTCTAAAACATCAACCTCACAGAACAGAAGAACGGCTATTAGTAAGAACTGTGCTGTGTGCAAAATGGAGAAATGCTGGTCAAAACGTACGACAGAAGGAACTGTACCATCTGCTGTACAGCATGGTAAGTGCAGTTGATCACAGTATGTGAAAAGAGCAAGAGAAGAAGTTTTTAAATGTATTTTCACAAGAACTTTAGTATGTGAGGTGATGAATAAATTACTCTGATAATTCATTCCATGATGTATATGCATATATTAAAACATGCAGTATACCATACACAGACAATTAAAAATTTTAAGATAAACAAAACAATAATTTTTTTTAAAAAAAGGTTAACTAGGCAGTGGTAGCGCACCCCTTTGATCCAAGTGCTTGAACAGCAGAGTCAAAGGGATCTCTGTCATTTCAAGGTCAGCCTGGTCTACAGAGAGTAACCCTGTTGTCTTGGAAAGGAGGGGGGTTGGGGAGGAGTGTGAGGGCATAAGATTTAAACATATCATAAGTATGCCCTGAAGAGTATTAATGACAAAACAGATGCTCCCTCAAAAGTAAGCTTCAGTAGCCTATAATTTGGAGTTTAAACTAAAAGCCTCCAAGAAATCCTATTCATATTCAATAAGACCTTTCAAAATGTTTTTGATCTTAAAACCTTTGCTCACTAATTTGTTCACTTTCTATTAACAAGGAATAGAAAATTAATGTAATGAGCATACTATGGTATCTACTGTATTACTGCATATGTGAGCACTGACTGTAAATCAAATTTGAATCATAAAACATTGGAAAATACTATTCTATCTTGGGTTGAATTATAACGAGCAAAACATGGAACAGTAAATTCTATGTTATTTATTTACTAAATTATACCAAAAAATTTTACAATGATATTTTTTTACATCACCAACGGCGTGGAATATTCCTATGAAAAAAACAGTTTTAAAATTAATATAAGAAGCCTAATATTTTGGGTCAAAATATAGGCAAAACAGATCATGTTTCAAGGGAATTCAGGTGCAGGTTTAGGACATTTCACAACTTTTTCTAATTCTCAGATAAGATGGAGCCTAGGACATGTTCAGCAGATACCAAAAGTTAAATTATTAATACTTGAACAGCACTAAACAGAGTTCTACTGTATTGTAAGGCAAGAAAAAAAAAATCAGTGCAACAAACTTAAAAAATATATACTCACCAGGCATGGTGATCCCAGCCCTCGGGAGACAGAGGCAGACAGATCTGAGTTTGGAGGCCAGCCTGATCTACAGAGAGAGTTCCAGGACAGATAGGACTACAGAGAAACCTTGTCTCAATAAATAAATAAATAAATAAATAAATAAATAAATAAATAACCAAACAAATGTACACTCAAATTAAGTAAAATAACCTAAGATATTAAAAAAAAATACTATCTCAAATTATGTTAGGTAATAGTAAATACAGACACTAATATACTTTCATATTTTATAACAGTTTTGCTAAATACTAACCATCCATGGTTTGTAATAGAGATCAATTGCACTAGAAGTTTCTCATATAATAATCATGTAACTAAATTATAAGTTAGTTTATTCTCTTTTAAAACACCCACAGCACCATCTATAGGCAAAACTTAAATAAGCACGTTTTCAACAGATTTACAATGCTGCTCTTTGGCAATTCAGCACACCGTGCTTATATGACTTTATACATACAAAGACTCTCCATACCAGTACCTCTAAAGCCCAATTATATTTAACCCCAAGAAAAAAACAACAACAACAGAAAGAGGACTAAAGTTCAGTAGAAATGGAGGCACTAGGGTGTTCAAGCAGAGGCAGTGTGTCAGCAAATACCAGTTTCTCAAGCCAGCACAAACTCTCAGAGGGCCACACTTCTAAACTCAGTCCCTTGAGACCACAGAGTAAAGGGAGAGAACCCATTCCCATAAACTGTCCTCTGACATTCATAATCAAATTAACAAGCAAATGTTAAAGTATTTTTTGAAAATTACTTTCTCCAGTAGTTTAGTAAAATCAATTAGCCTGTTTCCTCATCTCTATCCTAAAACACACACACACACACACACACACACACACACACACACACACACACACGAGGTTGGGGGGAGGGAGACTATTTTATATATATGGTAGTAATTAACCAGAACCAAAAACCATGTGTTCATGTTAACCATAATTGTATCTCCTTCTTTCAAGTGAACTGTGTAGCCGTGAAAAACGTACTTCCAGCTGTAATTCTGTATATTTTCTCCTAAGTTCAGTGACTTCTTCTCCGGCCTGCATCTTCTTGTATAAATCCAATTCTGTGTCAAGCAATTCTTTCTGCATCTGAAAGTCATTAATGTTTCAAATAACTATTAATAATCTGAGCTTATGTTAACATTTTTCTCATACTCACTCCTGAATCCCCCCCCCTTTTTGGTACAGGCTAGTTATACAGTCAGGATTCTCCTGTGTTGGCCTCAAAAAAGCCAGGATTTTCAACAGTTTTTTCTATTGCCAGTAATATCACTCTAGTTTGTAAGCTTTCTTATTCCTTTTATTCTCATTGATTTCCCTAAAATTCACTAAAACCATAGCCAAGTGTGATTTCATGAACTAATAACATGATAATGAGCTAATATACTATGGGACCAATGAGTACTATGAGACATAAATACTATGTCTTTATGTAGGTAAACACAGACATCTTATCTATATTGGAGGATAAAACACAAACAAATGATGGTGGTTACACACAAAAAGTGGGGTTAGGGATGGTGTATCAGGGGTTGAGGTTTGAGGTGGTAGAGAATCCTATGTATATCTTTTATACCATGTGAGTTATTAAAAAAAATTAAAAAGTTAAACTAAACCATTAAAGAATGAGGTGAGGAGAAAGAATCCGAAGCTGAAAACTAACTAAAATAGACTTAGCTTTATCTAATTAGTAGTACTCACAAAACGAAATAAAAGTTAATCGACATCATAATCTGACTTAATCTTTAATGAAATATAACTAGTTAGTAAGGGATGTAAATAAAATTTGAATCCAGCTTAAATGTTGGAAACAGTACTGCAACAATTGTGGAACTATTCTGAATGGATTGTGAGTCTACTTGAATGAATAACTAGATTTATGTTATGAGGCCAAGTTGTCATCATGGAAATTGGCAGTAAAATATGAGCTTTAAAAAAGAATAACCATGTAATTTACATTAAAATTAGAAAAATCAATATGGCTTCATACATATACATAGATGAACTATACATATTGTACCTCCTCTTTTCTATCATCTGAAAATATTGTGGTCATTTGTTTGGATCATCTAGATTAAAACACCTAAGTTTTCCTCTTTGCGAATAAAATCCATTCTGGACAGTGATGCTGGGTTACTTCCTGTCAATAGTCTTTTATATCACTAATTCCAATACATAGTTCTTTGCCACATAATCAAGTAATCGTGTCACTTTGTCCTCAAACTACCTTCCCAAAATTATGCACAAACATTTTCTAATAGTTGGCTTTACACCTCTAAGACTAGGACAGTTGTGAATAATCAGACTGTTAACAAACTATATATATATATATCTCCTTAAAAAATAACTTTTCATATTTCTATTTTAAAGCTCTCTCTTCTTTAAGAGTTATTTGTATTTATTATGCAGGGTATTTTGCCTGCATGTATATCTGTTCACTATGTGTGTTCAGTGCACTTGGGGGCCAAAAGGCAGCATCAGATCCTCTTGAACTGGTGTTACAGACAGATGTTAGCTGCCAAGTGAGGGAGTTGAACCTTGATCCTCTGGAATTGCAGCAAGTGCACTTAACCACTAGACCACCTCTCCAAATCCATGTTTGATATCCTGAATAAGTAGTCGTGTGAATAACAAACCAGGATACCTGAGTCTTTGTTTTTATACTTTTTGGAAGACAGCGTCCAGGAGATGTCGATTTAACTTCATCTTTCAACTTGGTAATATTTTTTGTCAAAATCTCTAACGTTTTCATTATTTCTGCTTTATCTTCAGACTTCATGGTTTTGTTTTTCTCTAGTTTTGAAATTAGCATCTGGCAAATTTTAAAACAGAAGTTTAAGAGACTTACAAGAGAAAACAATTACAGTAAAATAGGTAAAACAAATAATTATCACATTTAATTTATATGTTCTCAACAAAACTGTCATGACAGACTTCTAGTATATAAAGATAGAGGAACAGACCTGGTAAAGCTAACAGCAGCTTAACTACAATCAGTTTACTTTGTGAAAAACTTTTATTATTATTTTGATCTGGATCAGAAAAGTAGAACGGGCCACCACACAGAATTATGTTCTCTACTTACAACAGCTTCAGCTCTTTACATAAAGCGCTGTGCCTTGATAAGGTCTAACCAAAGTAAGAAAAGGCCGTACTTCTAATCTTAAAGGAGGTTTGAGACAGTCTTACTCTGTAGCCTAAGCCGGCCACAAACTGAGCAATCTGACAGCTTCAGCCTCTCCAGGTACTGAGATTCAATTTAAGGCACAACTGTAAACCAACAAAACATTGTTCCTGTATTTTTACATTTTTCTACCTAACACTCATTACAAAACACAACCAAGAAATGACTTCTAATTAAATGTCATAAATCAGAGCACTCTGCCCCCAAAACTGTTAGCCAAAAAATACCAGCCACGTTAAGTGATATTTTTTACAATTTACTTTGTAATTTGTGTGTGTGTGTGCCTGTTGTATGAACAAGCAGATGGACACAGAGACCAGGAAAGATTGTCTAATACTTTATAGCTAGAGTTACATACAGTTGTGAGCCAACTGACACTGGTTTAGGAACCCAAACAGGTCCTCTGGAATAGTAAATAGCAAATACTCTTTAAATATTTAAGCCATCTCTCAGTGTCCCCAAAAGTTTTTTTTATTAATCCATCACATTAAAAAGATAAAACAGGAAAAATTAAATTAATTCAGTAATTTAGCCCAGTATACCAAAATGTACATGTTAGCAACAACAAAAAAATTGTTGAGTTTTCTTTCTTCATACTACATCTTTGAAATCTGTTGTGTAATTAACATTTTCACCTCAATTTGGACTAGACACATTCCAGACGTGGCATTTCACTATTCTATTGTATAACACAGGAATAGGGGGTCCAAATTATTTAAGTAGATATCAACAATGAGAAAATGATTTTATTTCATTATGCACTGACCAAAAACTACTATACAGTAACAGAGCTAATTACTTCATGATGACAACCAGTTCCACCTAAACTATACCCATCACTTTATGTAAATTTCTTCAACTCCAATGCTAATGAATTAATACATAATGTTGATGATACATTTATTAACTTTTTCAGTTTTATCACTAATAATTATAGTAAATGTGCTTCTCACTGTGAATTAAACAGATTAAATTCACTAAAAATAACCACACTGATAATTCTGTCAAATTTAATTTTACTATTTTACCTTCTGTGTTTCAATGTGCTTTTCTAAAATTTCTTGCTTCCTTTTTCTTACATCCTGCTGAAGTTTCAGTGCCTCCTAAAAGAATCAAAACTATCATTTGAGTATAACTAAAGATCAATAAAACAATAACAAGAGAAAAGTTTTAACTGAAGCAACATGGCAACAAAATGTGTGTCTGTAAAGCTTAGACCACACAGACAGGTTTCAAAGATGAACCAGAGGAAACTTCCCTTCACAGAAAAAGAGTGTAAAAGAGTAATTATTGTGACAGAAGGAAAATCAAACCATCCAGTTTGACCTTGTGGTAAGTACTTTAACAGATACACAAACAGGCATGCACATACCAAATGAGGAGGGCTTCCTACGTACAAATTGTATGTTATATTGTCTGTGCTTACCTGCTTCTTTTTCTGTGCTTCGTTATTATCAACTGCAGGGGTAGACACTAGTAAGGTTTTTTGTGCAGCCTTCAAAGCAGCTGGATTGTACACTGTTTTTGTAAGACCAGTGGAAGTAGACAAGACCTACCAACACAAATTCAATTTCTTAAAAACAGAGTGTTATCAATCATCAGTAATTTCTTAAGTCTTGCTTTCTAAGAAACTCCAACTTTAAAGCATTTCTGCTTAAAATTAAATATTGAACTAAACGTATTATATAGTTATAATGACATTTCGTGAGTCTTTAAATGAATGGTATGAATGAGTAATAAGCCGTATAACAAACAAACAAACAAACTCCTGGTGACTTAATACCTATAACAAAAAACAAGTAACAAAAAAAGCAAAGCCAAATATGTAAAACAGGAAATCAAAGGGAAAAAGGACTGTCATTATTATGTGGATGAATAAAGCACAGGAAGAAACTGAATGTCATCCTACAAACATTTTAATATGATCACTGTAATCTCTAGTTCCAAAATAAACGAGGTAGTCATTCTCCATTCCCTACAAGCCATTCTTCCTCCTTAAAGTGAGCTTAATCTTGTAGACCAAGCTCAGATGGAGTACAAGCTAAACCACTAATCATTTTTCTTTTCTTTCCAATACTTAGAGATTTTTATCTCTTCAGCTATGACATAAAAATATCATTGAACTTGTCAAAACAAAACCAATAAAAACCTGATGTCTCCCTTCCTATCTACACTGCAAGGCCCTAGAAACAAAGATCTAGTCTTTCTCTTCTTTGTGATTCTTGAACCTAAGTCTTTTTAATACAGAATGATGAGACTTTGGTTAAAGTAAACTTGAGAGGTGGGGTATCCTAAATGTGCTCATCTACAAGATAGGAGGGGGTTTATCTTGAGGGTATCTAAAACACAAACCCAAAGCTCTCTCCTTTGACTTGTTTTATCAGTATACTTAGTATCTAAAACAGTACAATCACACACACAATAGTGAATACTCATAAAGTAAACAAATGATTATAGGTTGAAGTGAAAAACACTTAAAATCATAAGGTTTAATGATGACAACAAAATAATAAAAGACAGTGCTGAGAGGTTACTTTTTATTTCGGTCACTAAGTTCCATGAGATGACTGGTTCTTGTAAAGATAGTATCAGCAGATTCTATAAAACCTAAGCAAGTAACCTTGTACCATGATTTTCCAAAGAAATTATTACTGCTTCTAACATCTTAAGAGTTCCTGAGCTAAAATATGATACAGAAAGATGGAAAAAAAAAAAGATAGAAGACTGTAAATAAAAAATATTACCCTATTTTTTAGCTACTAACATGTTAACATCTGATGTAGCATAAAAGTAGAAATCTGGAGACCATTTTCTGATCTTTCACCAAGAAATTAGAAGACAAAAAAGGGGGGGCAACTTATTACTCTTAATAATTCTCTGTCTCAGAATCTAAATGAAATTAAAGCTATCATTATTCTAGCTTCACAGAGCATGACATGTTTAAAAGTTAAAAAAAAAAAAAATTCTACATGTATCAAAATTTCACAGGTAATTTTCTTCAAAATAAAACCTGCCAAATATTACTAATAAATATGAAATATTAAGAAATACTTGCTTTCATTAGAAATCAAAATACAGATTTGGTTTATAGTCTAACTTCAGCGACTATTCTGGAATAACTCTGGAGAATTTCTTCAATGCTACTTTACTATGTTACAAATTGCTAAACTATATTAAAAGAAAGGATGTAACTTATGAGAAAGACAATACAGTCCACTTTTAAGTCTGAATATACTGTTTCTTCATCATGAGAATTCCCTAACAAGTTAAAAGCTATCTACAGAATAAATAACTTGGAAATCTGAGTATCACAATATTCTCCAGCATCAAATACACATTATAATAATTTGTTTAACCTAGCAATTTTCCCACTTCAGTGGATAAGAAACACACAAATCTTTCCAAACCATCTTAGCATTTTATATCAGACTAACAAGTGCTGGCTGAAGGGAGTTATCTGATGAGAACAGAACACTTCCTTGTTTCTACAAGCTGTCTCAGAATCATATCCAGTGAATTCCTTCTACAAAAACAGAATATATGATAAAAATAGTCCACGCAGCCTCAATCTCAAGGACTCCTACATACAATTGAGAAACAACAGCAAAGCACTTACAACTCTACTTCCAATAATGGTGAAATGCAGCCCTATTTCAAAGGTGCCAAGATGTAAAAGTAAAATGTGCTTAGAAATAACTGTAGGATTACAATATTGCTTTTTATTTGAATCTACTTGGTTCTAGGTTTAAATACTAGAATGGTAAAGAATACCCACATTTTTTAAGATTTAAAGTTTATCCAGGCGTGCTGGTGTATGCCTGTAATTGCAGCACCTTGGGAGCTGGAAGCAATAGGGATGGTACATTAAAAGCCAGCCTTAGCTACATATTAAATTGAAGTACATGGTCAAGGCCCTGGATTTGACCTCTAGCTCTGTCAATAAATAATAAACAAACAAATAAATAAATAAATAAATAAATTTAAAGTGAAAACAGCAGAGGAAGCCAACATATCCAACACTCAAGATTAAGTTACGAATCATAAGAACACAAAATATGGACAAAGGCCGTTACAAGTAAACACAGCACGTTTATTTTCCAATCATTTTCATGTGCTGTAATTCCATATGCTGACATATTAGCTTAACTTCTGATGATCTGACTACACTCACCTATTGTCTCAACTGCTTGCAAGTTTTATTTTGAATTCTCTACATATGTAATAATCATGTTATCCACATATAAACAGATTTCTTGCCTCTTTTTAATCTTTGTAATGGTTTGTTTAATTTTATCACTTTATTGTATTGGTCAAACCCTATGGGAAAAAACCTGACAGTCACTAACTAAATGAACATCTTGTCTCATTCCTGATGCTGGCAGTAGTGGATATGCATTATATCTCACCATTAAGTTTAATGTTAGTTCTGGTGGAAGGATGCAAACATTCTTCAACAAGGTAAGGAAGTTCCTACTTTGCAAAGTGCTAAGTATTTCAGAAATATTTTTCTAACAAGATAGTCATGCAAGTTTTTCCTTTTCCCTTTCAATGCTAATATGGTCAGTTAGACATATTCCTAATGTTAAATCATCTTGAATTTTTGGACTAAACCTTTCCTGGCCATAATGAATTGTGTATTTTATATATCACTGGAAATTGCTAATATTTCCTTTGAAATATTTGTGCCTATGTTTATAACAGGTGTTAGCTCACAATTTTACTTTCTTGTAGTATCCTTACCTGAGTTTTTGTAGCAAATATAAACCCAGAAGATGAGTTTAAAGGCAGGCCCATTATGTGCTATGATTATATTATTATCTCCTATGTCAAAGACAAAAGTCAATTCTCTCTATTGGTTCCAATGATTTTCTTTCTTCTTTTCTTTGCATTTTATATTTATTAGTGCTTTGCCTGCATGTTATATATATGTACCATGTACACTCCTAGTGCCCAAAGAAGTCAAAAGGGGGCACCGAATCCCCTACACTTTCTGAACTTAAGATGGTTGTGAATTACCATGTGGATTCAGGGAAACAAACCTGGGTCCTCTACCAGAGCCAACAAGCGCTCTCAACTGCTGAGCCATCTCTCCAGCTCCTGCATCCATAACCATACCAACTATTACTAAATGGAAAAAAAGTCTTGCTAAGAATGAGAAGAAAAGACCATTCTGTTAAAAAAAATCCTATAAAGGATTACTATAAAGCTATCTAAAATTTCATTTTTTAAATAACTAGCTCAAACTGAAATTTAATGACTTAATAATATTTAACAGCTCTATAATACAGATGACAATAACCTAAATACTATTCTAAATAAGAATTAAATAATAGAAGTTAATACCTCTAACAGGTATTTAAAATAGAAAAGATAAACTCACTTTAAGTATCTAAAGAGTTATGTATAAGAAAAATTAATATGCTCAATTTTTTTATTAGGTAAGTATGTATTCAGTAAATTAGAATGTTTATTTACAATATTGTTTAAGAACACATAGGTATTCATTTTATAACACTGGCCAAATGGAGAACTCTGGAGAGAAGAATAAGATTTAAAGCTTTATTTATAAGGTATTTTAAAGATTCTTCTCGAGAATATTAAGTACTTTTTAAAAACATCACTTAACCAATAACAAAAATTACATTTGCCAGTCTGTCTCTGTCTGTCTGTCTGTCTGTGACCCAGTACTTTGCTGGCATGGCCTCCCACTTTGGCTAGGAGAACACTTAACATCATGACTATTAATTGAGGTTACCATGTTGTATTTTGTTCCGAAATTATTTTATAACTGCTAGCCACTGGCTTCCTAACTTCCTTGCCCTGCGTTCCTGTAAACCATCCTTTACTCTGCTTCATGAGTTCAACTTTGTAATTCTACACATATAAGGAATTAACAACATTACAGGGAAACATTTTAAACAAATATCAAAGAAAAACTATTTATAATCTATAATCAATTTTTGCTACAAACCCTAGTTCCCAGAAAGTGTAGTCAATGTTTTTAAAAAGTCAATTTTTCTTGTAATAAAAAACAACTCAAGACTTGTAATAAAAAACAACTCACGAAAGTCTTCAGGAGTATGTACTAAAATATAAATAAATAGCCAACCAACCATTAAATGGGGGTTAGAAAAGCTTCACATATTCTCTCAATCTCTGGATTTATATTGCCAAAAGTGTACATCAAACCAAAATTTAAAAATCAAAAGGCTATTAGCATCTCTATTTTATAGTCAAGGGAGCTTGTTCAATGTCATCTCCGATGGCTAAATGTAAACCTGAGGTCTCTAAATGAAATGTAGCTCAATTTTACTGTACAATCTCCCATTTTAAAAAAAAATCCAAATACAAATATCATTATGAAAAGAGTTTTAGATGTGTGTATGTATGTATATATGTATGTGATTTAAAAATACTTTAACAAATGAACATCCTATGATAAACTTAGTATCTAAAGCTGGTATGCTAGGCACCAGGACATTTGACTGACAGAGTAAAAACACACTCCAAGAGAAGCATCACAAAGAAACTAGAGCTAGACAGAGACAGAAAGGGACAAAGAGTGAGCTAAAAAGAAAGTAAGAGAGAACACGACAGAAACCTTTGAAGACAGAGGACAGACACGAGACAATACAAAAAAAGGTACTCCTCAAGATAGGAAAAGAACATTGCACATCAAAACTAACAGAATAGCAACCACTTTGGAAGTGTGAGGGGGAATATGGACTGTGAACTAAACGAAGTCATTGTAGCCAATAAATTCAAATTTTCAAACATTAAAATAGCACTGACAGAATGGCAACAAAATAAAACTTAGAGAGGAGAATGACAAGACACCTAAGATACGGCATCAAAAAGCCAGAGAACTGAATGCAGTAGAGAAAAAGTGGGAGACTATGAATACTTGTAAAACACCAGGAAGGCTTCGAGACTATAGTACTTAGACAATCACTCCTAGTGGTAAGGTCTAGAAATTAAAATTAACTTCTATACAGAAAACAACTCATTTTTGGCACTAAGAAGCCCAAGAGGAAAGTCTGATATAGACTGAGATTTGAATTTCCAGCAATGCCAAAGTTTAACAAAGTAAATAATAAATCAAGCAGTATTCTAAAGAACAATGGTGGCAGGTCAGCTAGATGCCTGATTCACTTTCAACAGAAATTTCCTCTGTAATCTTCAGTCTAGAAATAACAGGGACTAGAAACCGGAGAAACCCAAGTCCTTTATGTTTTGCTAATACTCTATAGTTTCATATAACTCAAATGAAAAACAATGTTACCAGGGTAGTCCCAAACATGAAAACAGCATACATCGATTCAGAAGAAAGACCCACAAACAGGCTCAACAATCTTTATTTTCCTTCTTATTTAAAAAAAGAAGGAAGTTGTTGTAAAGCTTTATAAGGAAAACTCTCAGCAATAAGTTTAAACTGTCAATAGTAAAATAATTTATATCATTCTTCCCATTTACAGACTACTTTTAAAAGTAAATAAAGCAAAATAACTATTACGATCTACCAGTCTACCAGTAAGTAAAAGGATTCAGAAAGGTTAAGCGCACTGCCCAATCATCATGCAGTTAGTAGCAAAGAGCTGGGGATTATATCCATGGAACATTCCTAGCACATGATCCTTTCTATTAGACCACCAGAGTTTTCAATCTAAAATGCACAATGTCTATAAAGAAAATAAATTTAATAATAATAATAATAATAAAAAAGAATGGAGCACACGGAAATAAGAGAAGCAAGTATTAAAATGTTGATGTAAAAAAGGGAAGCTAAGCTAAGCTTTTTCTTTTTCAGCAAACAGGTAGGAGTAAGAAGCTACCAATACTATTAAGAAGCAGGAGTTTGGAGCTATGAGGGAAAAAAAAAAATGAAAATGCCACCTGGAAAACATTTATAAAGCCAAGACAAACACATCATGCTATTCTTACCTTTTCAGTTGCTGAAACAGATGGCTTTGATACAAAACCCAACCTGTCCTTCACAGATAACTTAGTTACATTCTAAAAAAATTAAAACGGACATATTCAGTGTTTCCCCAAACATATATTAAGTCTGTTGGGATTTTGAACATCCTGATTCTACTAATAGATACTGAGGCTGAGCATAGCAATACTAGCCACAGAAACCTGGGCCTTAAAAAAAAACAAAAATAAAACAAAAAACGGGAGAAACAAGGAGAAAGAAGAGGAAGGGGAAAAAGAAAAGAGAAGATAAGGAGGAAATACGTGTGGAAATACAAAAAGCCTTTAATATTAATTAAAAAATTATAATGTAAACTCCGTCCTCAAGTAGGTTCCTAAGGTCCCTTGCTGGAATTTTATATTAACAAGTAAAAACTGCACATTTTAAAATAGCCTTGAATATTTAAAATATAAGCCTGCTTCACAAGCTGAAAAATAAGTATCACTCATTCCTAAAATATGTTTGTAAGTATATACATCATAATTAGTGATTATTTAGATATGATAATTTAAAAATAACAGTACATCATTTTGCATTCTGAACCTTCATAGAGAATCTCATTATATTATTCTACGCATTAGAAATTACTGACCTGGAAAGCAAACATGCATCCATTCTCTAAGTAGGTTACTACACCCTAACCCAATTTTGCACAGCATACCTTGAAATGTCTAGAGAAAAAGAAAAGCTAAATTTTTGAGACTGAGAGTATAGAAACAAGAAACTGCCAATCAAGTATGGAAGTGGAAAGAAACAACATATGGAGACGAGAATCCCAGCCCATAGGAAGTGATGCAAAGTACTAAGCAGGGCAAGTAAGTACTTAAATCAATATAGCATCAACCAAGCACGTGTAACCTGATGGCTTAAGTCTTCCCTTCTCAAAAGTTCTCTGTTCACTCTACTGCATAATTATCAGGAGATAGAACTCTAAGTAAAAAGATAACAGAAAAAAATAAAATTTAGTGTACTGAACTTCACTTTCAGGCAAATTTGTTTAAATACATCTCCACAAAGTAAAAAGAGGTCTTTCTCACGAGCATTAGCTAGGAAAATGAATTTAAGATTAAAAAGTGTTATAATAAAGCTAACTTATATGTAGTCAAAAATACACCATATTTCTATGTAGAACATACAACATTAACTATAATTCTAGTTACCAAGGAAAATTAATTGATGGAGAATCTATTTGACAGAGCTGCTGGTAAAAGCTGCTGTTTACCTGGGGAAGGTCTGAAGTAGCACTCTGGGCTTCTGCCGGTTCAATAGTACCTGAAGGTACAGGACCCAGCCGCTCTTTGACTGACTGCTTCACAACAGGTAAAATGGGTTGCTGGACTAACGGCTGTATTACCTCAAAACAAAAGGAAAAGTTAAAACAAACTAATTAATTAGAAAATGGACATGAAGCATAATCAGGATGATTTTATACTCCTGTATCAATATAAAGACAGTTTAAAATACAATTTATAATCAAACTCAAGTGTTTCAGTTTTTCAGTGTATTAAATTTTCTTTGGAAGAATTGAATTATAAAGTATAAAAAATTAAATTCATCATTGTTTAATAATCAAAAATCAGACTACTCTATAATACCTCTCAAAAACAGCTAGTATTTTCTCTAGGGAGAAAAGTAGAAAGAAGGGAAGGAAAAAATCATGTCTAAGAGGACTATGTAGTGATAAACTTACACAATATGTAGCCACCACTTAATGATTCCTTCTCAGTAACTACTGCTCTAGCTACTTCACAGACACCATTTTATAATTCCCTAAACTAAGATTACCCTCACAAGCTAATAAGAGAATAGTTCAGAGAAGTAACTTTCTCCAGCTTCTGTGACTAACAGTACTAAAACCATGATTCAAAAGCCTGTTGTAATACTGATAAAGGACCACAAGAAACATTAAACTTCACATACAGTTCTCTCTTACCTTTGGTGAAGTAGTTTGTAACTGCTGAGTAGTTCCTTCTCTGTGCCAATAAACCTTAATAAAGCGATTATTTAATACTGCTTCTGTACTTGAGATTGCTTTCTTTGCTTCTTCATAAGTTGCAAATTGGATAAGGGCACCTTCAGGATCACCATTATAGGCAACCTAAGATTTATTGAGAAGAGTTTACTGTTAAAGGAATGCGCAACTTTACAGTCAATTTCTTAAGATCTCAAAATTTCAGTCCTTCAGGTAAGATCTTATCATCAAGCTCCTTACACTTCTGTTATCTGTATAACATACCCATCTTGTCATTCTCACAGTATTTTCAAAGAGCCTTTGAGCAAGCCCTTTGGTTTTTGCCTGTTTGTTTGCTTGTTTCATGAAATAAGGGAAAAGTTTATTCTGGGGCCAGATCTGAGTAACCATAGCCTGAAAACACTTAGGTTTCAATGTAGAAGCAGTTTCTTGGCATTTTTTTACTTTTACAGAACAAAGAAACACAAGTCAAAGCAAGTTATCTGTGCCAGCAGTGTTGGTAAGTAGTGTGACTTTCTTAAGAAATGAGGTCTAGCAGTAGGTTATGAGATCATTTAGAGGAACTGCCCTTAAAGTTGTGCTAGGTGGTTTTATGTCAACTTGACACAAACTGAAGTCATCTCAGACAAAGGAACCTCAATTAAGGAAATATCTCCAAAAGATCAGGCTGTGTGCAAGTCTATAGGGCATTTTCTTAAGTAGTGGTTGCCAGGAATGGGTCCAGCTCATTGTCAGTGGTCCCATGCCTGGGTTGATGGTACTGAGTTCTATAAGAAATCAGGTTGAGGAAGCCATGAGGAGCAAGCCCATAAGCAGCACCCCTTCACGGCCTCTGGCTCAGCTCCTGCTTCCAGATTCCTGCCCTGCTCGAGTTCCTATCCTGACTTCCTTTGATTATGAAACCATTTCCTCATGAAATAGTTATGGTTATGGTATTTCATCACAACAATAACCTGAAATAAGACATAAGTTCATAAGGATGCCACAGCTCTCATAAGAGAAAACTGTTTAGAAGTCAGTCTGACCACTAATTTCATCTATGATCCACCAGTACTCTTTAATCAGAAGCCAAACAGCCTTTCATTGTTAATATTCCTTTTCTTGTGTAAGTTAGCCCTCATCAGGTATTTCATTACAGTAAGACACGATGTCCAAATTCCTAATCTTAGAATGTGAACAAATTTCCTATTTTTCTATGAACATTTTCTCAAGTTCTTTAAATAAATACTGAGACTATTATTCCAAAGCTCTTACCTGTAAGTTAACCAATGTTCCAAATCGACTAAAATGTTCATTGAGTTTGCTGATATTATTTAATTCTGGAGGAACTTTTCTAAGTTCAAGCTTAGTATTTTCATTTCCAAATTGAACCTTCTTCTGGAAACCTGGACTGTTTGTCCTATTAAAATTTGGTCTGTAAGCAAAAACCAAGTTGATCAATATATTTATAAAACTGATCCCAACTACTACAAAGGAATAACATTTTACATGTAAAATGGATGTCCTTAATTTAAACACAAAACAAGTCAAAGCAAGTTATCTGTGCCAGAAATGTTGGTAAGTAGTGTGACTTTTTTAAGAAATGAGGTCTAGTGGAAGTAGTACTAGTACTGGAAGTACTAGTCAATGAAGAAATTTAAAGTTTTCTTTCAAACAACAGTTTCCAAATTAGTAGTGGTAGCATCTTCTATAGAAGTCACTCACCTAGAAAGGCTCACTTACATCCCCTTTTTATTTCTACACTTTTCATTTTCTGTTATTTTTAACAAAAAAAAAAGATACTACTGTCTGCATTTAGCCAAAATATACATACAAATCTTGTACTATTCTGGTAATCAGCTTACTGAAAGGTATTTCATTTTAAGACTTTTGTTAATTTTACTTATTAATATAAAGATGACACCTAAACCTACTATCAGTTTTGGGATTCTTTACTGTTTTTTTTTTTTTTTTGCTTCTTTGTTTCTGTTTTATCAAGACAGGATTTCTCCGTGTAGCTCTAGCTGTCCTAGAACGCACTATGAAGATCAGGCTGGCCTTGAACTTGGTGATCTACCTGCCTCTGCCTTCCCAGTGCTGGGATTAAAGGTGTGAGCCACCACCATCCAGCCAGAGAAGTAAAATTATTGGAAGTACACATAATGCTTTTGGTACATGAAAAAACTACCTGTAATCCAATGAATTCACTCTTTTCCTCTTACTTTAAATCACAATACCAGGTATAGAAACTACTCTTTCTAAACTACTCAGAGTAGCTCTAACTTCCCATCACACATGTAAATATATAAATGTACTGTCATACCCTCTAATATTCTGATTTTCTTCCTTTCTCCAAAGTTCTTCCTGACCAACTCAGTGCCTCTTTAGCCTTTCTACCTGGGAAAAGCCCTCGGCAGTTCCTAGCAGGAAGGGCCTATAAACAAAAACCTCCATCCAGATCTTCGACATCCTTTTCTCCTAATGATACAGGGCTTATAACTATCCTGTGTGCAGCTCCTATTCAGTAACACTTCTAACATGTATAAAGGGTTGTTTCTTGTAGAGGTGGAAGTGGATAAAAAGTGTGTCTTCCATCACACCACTTTTCTAAGAAAACAGCTGTGTAGTGCCAAAGCAAACTCATAAATTTCTAGAAAACAACCAAGATTGTAACTGAGAACAATCTACAGATCAGTATAACTTTAAGAGATTACACAGTCTCTAATCTAATAATATAGAAATAATCAATGTACGACAAAATTCTTCAATAGTCCCTGTCAACTTACTTATCAAACCATGTCTTCTTTGTAGAAACTCCAGGTTCCCCAGACCCAATAGTTCTTTTCCTTGATTCTGAATCCACTACTATCCTCATACTGCTTTTATTAGGAGGCTTTTCTGTGTCAAGACAAAAGAAAGTATACATTAGTATTTTGTGTTTATTTCAGCAACTTCTTTAAATTCCTATGAAAATATCTAAGTTTTCTATCAAAATAAGTATCTTATAGGCAAAGGACTATATTCAAATACAGTAGTCCAAGTAGTCTTTTTCAGATGTGTTTTCTTTATTTCACACTTAACTCTAAGACTCAATAAATTTCTCATGCCAAATTAATATGTGATATTATAAGCTATTTTTTTAAAGGTAAAATGTACACCAATCCTCCAATCTGCCATCACTCTCACCACAAACAAAAGTATATAAATAAGTCCCCTTGAGACAAACTACCACTGCAAATTATCAAATTGTAAAAGTACTGCTTAAACAGCAACATAGTAACATAACTGAAACACATTTTAAAAGAAATATTCAAGACTGAAATGTAGTGTCAGAGAATTATAAACATCTACTACTTGATATTTTACATTCGTTCTGCTAAAGCACTCCTAGGACAAGCTTTTTATGTAACCTGCTGTCTTAATTGTGCTTCTACTTCCAGATTTCTCTAGCCACCTATTTTAAACATAAAGACAGAGCCTCCGATCTATGTCCAGAGTCTCCCTGTTTCCTTCCATTTTCTAGGTCTCCTGTAACACTGGAACATCCATCCCAGCAACTCTTAATATTACAGCTCACATCACATCTACAAAGGAAACCTCACAAAGTTTCTCCTTTCACTACTCCATTTTCTCTCCATATCCCACAGCTAGCCCCGATTTACCATTCCCACTCATCCATTCATCATCTGAAAACTGGCAGCTGCCTCCATTACAGTTAACTTGTTCATGGGAGAAAAATAAGTAATTAAGGAAACTATTTGATACTTAAACCTATGAATATTCAGGGGTCTTTTTTTATTTATGTGTATGTATACTTTGCCTGCATATATGTGTATCACATATATGCCTGGTGCCTGCAGAAGGAGGTGTCAAATGTGAGCTACCATAAGATTGGGATCAAGCCTATCTTCTGCAAGAGCCTTATGTGCTTTTAACATCTTAGTCACCTGTTTCATCCTACTTCTCAGTTTTTAGTTGGCCTCCAAGAGATATTTGCTGCTGTTTCTTCCTTCTCCTCTTACATTACCAGCTCTGGATTTTCAAGAATCCCTTTTCTTTTGTGGCCCTTGGCTTCATGGCTTTCAGTCACCCGTGTGACTCCTCCAGTCAGTTGGCTCCCTCACCTCACTCCATAATCCTTATGTCCTTCCTTTATCTACTCTCATTCATCGTTTACAGGGCTTCTTGTGGAGTCTGGGGAATCCATGGGGGTGGGGGTGTTTAACTGAGAATGAACAAGAAAGGCTATTTGTGCCTGTGTTAGTCAACCATGCAGGACTCAGTGTGGATCAGTCTACCATTCTTCATCTCCATATTTATGATTTCAAGTAAGAGGAGAATGAGTAATTTCTAGTCAGCTGTCTTCATGGCGCTCAGACTTTAAATATTTCTAATCAGATGACTTACACATATAACAACTAAACTAAAAGATTAAACTTATTTTTCTAGTTTTATCTTAACAGGAAGGGTGATATGTAGGAGGAGCTAAGGTAGGAGGAGTAAGGAGAAGAAGAGGAAGAGTATCTCTCTAAATCTGAAAGCTCATGACAAATCTGCTGCTGATTGCCTCTGGCATCACCGAAACCAATAAAAACTATGCCACAGCTATGTGGAAGGACCCTCTTACCCTTAAAGGGAATGGCCCGGACCCAGTTCTCTTATGGGGCTCAGGATTGATATGCCTGTTTGATACCACAGAAGGCATAGCTAAATGGCTACCAAAAAGACTGATGAAATAAATAGATAACCCCACAAAGCCAGGCCCAACCATAAATAAGATGAATAACAATTGACATCCAGGGAAGAGAAATCTCCCTAAGAACTCCCTTCTTTTTCCTTTCCAAGTAAAAATGAATCGCCCATGATGTCTGCTGTTAGAAGTTCTAATCCAGATGCTGGCCTCCGATGTTATACTACTCAGACCTTCCACGGGCCATTGACAAGAATATCAAACAGCTAGAGACTGACATCACTAATCTGAAGAAATCCCTCGTATTGCTGTCTGAATAGACCTCCAAAAATTTCAAAGGACCTTATTGGACTTGATCTACTCTTTTACAACAGAAAAGTCTGTGTACAGCTCTTGAATGTGTATGGCCTTTAAAGAAGAATGTTGCCTTTACATAGACAAGACGGATGGTTAAAGAGGCATGAAAAAGGTCAGAGAAGGCCCTGAGAAAAGACAGACAGACAGAGAAAGAGAAAGAGGAAGAGGAAGAGGAAGAGGAAGAGGAAGAGAAAGATGAGAGCTGGTACAAGAATTGGCTTTCAACCTCTACATGGTTGTCAAACCTACTTCCTCCCATCTTGGCACCATTAATTGGGTTATTTTTGCTTATTTATTTTGGTCCCTAGGCCTTAAATAGGCTGACTAACTTTGTGAAACAACAGATAACTAATTTGGTAGCAAAACCTATTCAGATACATTATCATAAGTTAGCTGTGGAGGACCACGAGACTCAAGATGAGGTTGTTACTCTATCCAGGGTGTTCCCAAAACCCATCTCCACCCAACCTAAAAGAGGGGACTTCCGCCCCTAGACCAAGCAGAGAGGGGCCACCCAGAACCCCCTCTGACTGGCAATCTGAATTCTTGCTTAGGCTTCGAGGCTAAGCACTGCAAGGGAATATAAATACAAGATAAAAATATCTCTCTGGGTTCCCTGAGGGACAAGCCTGACTGCATAGGGGTTGATGTCAAAAGTATCTCCTCTCCAGGAAAAAGACATCGGGTGGGTATGGCCCTCATGCCTCACTGGACAACGACAGGGGAACTGGAGCCATTCATTACAAGGTCCCCTTCAAATACTGGAGGTCAGGCCTCTATCCTTGCCTTCACAAGATTAGAATTGCCACAGCCCTTCTATACTTAGAGAAGGGGGGAGATGTCAGGGGCAGCCCTGCTTATACACTGAAGGCCTAAAATCAGCCATAGGCCTAAAATCAGCAATAGGCCTGTCATACATGTATACTAACACCAAGTCTTGGGTCTCTGTGGAAAAACATTGAAACAGAAGGCTATAAGCTATTATAAACAGGCAGCTTTTGTGGAAATTTACCAGCCTGAGTAGTCACAGACCTTGTAAATAGGTAGCCTTGGCAGACAATACCAACTTAGATAAGAACAAGTGAATCATAGGCAGAGTCATGGCGACCTGTCCCCTGAACCTTCACCCAGCCAATACCCTGTTCTGAAAGATATCTGTACTCCCCCTGAACACTCACGCTCTGGTGTCATTCCCTATGACCTGCCTTTCTGTGTTTATAACCCCTGCGTGAATGAATTACGATTTGAAAAAAAAAATTAATTAATTAAAAAAAGAAATATTACACAGTAGCAGAATACATTTATGCCAATCCAAAAAAGCAAAGCATTAGTGAAGTAGGAGTTACCAGTAAAAGCAGGGAATACTAATAAGGCTTTTTTTAAAAAACTGGGGTGGACAATTACAAGGGGGTACTACTCTTATTACAGATTAACCAGAGTTCAGTCTCCAGTACCTACATCAGGCAGCTCAGAACCTCCAATTAACCCTAGCACCAGAGAAACTATTAGCCTCTGGCTGCCTGCTTGGGCACCTTCCACATGTAAGTCCTCTCTCTCTCTCTCTCGCTCTCTCTCTCTCTCTCTCTCTCTCTCTCTCGCTCTCTCGCTCTCTCAACACACACACACACACACAGAGAAATACATAATTAAAAATATGCATTTTTTTCTAATTGCTAAAGTGACCCAAAGAAAGGTTTTTGTAAACTAACCAGTATGGTAGAGAAATTCAGAGAATGAATAAACATTACAAACAACTATAATCTTAAAGTGCTACTTTTCCATTATAGGCAATGGATATGCCTCACATATAGAAGAAACTAAAACAGAAAGCTTCTTTTCCTACTACTGATGATAATTATTAGATTACCTTAGGGAGAATTTAAAAGTGTACTGGAAAGAATACATATGAAGAGATTCTGTGATACTTCAAAGAGGGTATAAATTTGAATTGGAATGTTCCTTACACCCTGCCACAACATGCTTTTCAAATATATAAGGAAGATATTCAGAATCTGACAGATTCCAATATATAACAATAAAAAAACCCCTCAAATTATAGGTAATCCTAAACTTACTAATCCACAATCGGCACTGTTATTTAAGTTGGACATTTATACGCAACTGAAGAGTCTTGATGTTTCTAGGCTCTCTAAAGATAGCAGGGGGAAAAATTGGGATGCAAAGTAGTTTCAAATGGTATGATTAAGAATAAAAGACAAATTTTACCTAACAATCTTCCATCTTCTTTCATCAAAATTTGTACCTGTGACTGCTACACTGTTTCAAACTAATGGGAACTCTAGCCATAGTTTGATGCTAGTAATGAATTTCTACTGCCATGGCTCACTCTAAATTCACTCTAAATGTTAGTTTTTAACAATTTAGCTAAAAAGGCTGTCTTTCCTAGACTTTAAAAGATGAGTCAATTACGAGCCCCTATTTCATTTTACTTAAAAAATCTATGCGTCAAATTTTAAGATCTCAGGAATACAAAAAGTTACCCACAGAGCTTAAGTTTTAAATACGCTCATCAACCAAGAAAGGACAGGCTTTAGAAATAGCATCATTTCTCTCATCAGTGGTTCTCAATCTTCCTAATGCTGTGTCCCTTTAATGCACTTCCCTATGCTGTGGTGATCCTTAACCATTTAAAATTATTTTGCTGCTACCACATAACTGTAGGAGTTTTTTTTTTACTGTTATGAATTGTAATGTCAATATTTTTTGGAGACAGGAGTTTGCCAAAGGGGTCATGACTCATCACAAATAAAACAAAGCATAAGAAACAAGTTATCTAAGAAATACACAGTATCAGAGAACTTCAAGCGGGTAAGATCATCATCCTGTCCTTATGCTTTCCTCCTTTTTCTGTTTTTTTGGTTTATTTTGATAAACATCAATTCAGAGCTTTGTGCAAGATAAGCAAACATTCCACTACTGAACTATTCCCCATCCTGCTTTCATGAAAATAAGAAAAGATTAATCATAATACCTCTAGGTGGTAAATCCATGTCCCCTGATGTTAGTCCTATCAAGTTAGGCCTTTGTGCATGGACTCTGTGTCTATACATAGGTCTGGAAGTGTTTGTTATGCTTGGGGCTTCAGGATTGTAGCCATCTGTATCATATGTATCTGGTAACATAAAAACTGTAATTAAACAACAATTATAAAAAACCACTTGGTAACTTTTAAATACTGATAATAGAAAAAGTAAACAATATAATTTATTATTAATATACAACATACAACTAATGTGTTGTAAATATATAGCAATTCTATAAAAACAAAAAAATGAAACCAATAGAAGTCTTCTGAATGATTTAGTATCTATTCATCAAGTCCACCTTTCACTGTGTAATTGTAGTGAAAAATTTTGTCCCTTATTATAAACTCACTAGGTATTTTTAAAGCTCTGCTCTATAAGTGCATTATGAAATTTAGAGGGGGACAAAACTGCACCTGCAGTAAAAAGAGAGGGTGGAGCAGGAGGAGGCTGGTGATGAATGCCAGTTGTTACCACAGTAGGAACAGAGCTGGTTGCAGAGTTAGGTGGTGCATCCATGCCAGATGGCTGCAAAGGAGGAAGTGGAGGAGGTGGTCCTGTCAAAACCAAAGAATAAGAAATATCATCTGAAAGCAAACAAACAAAATAAATTATTATATATTCAAACCTGATATTCTTTTATCAAGCTAAAATGTTTTCTACAAAGAGCAAGCTCTTACAAGTAAGTTAACTTTTTTATGGTAAATATTCTTTTAAATCTATTATGAAACAAATTTGATGTAAACTAGGAAGGACTAAATGCAAAGAGATTATTATCATAATGTATACAATTCACAGGCTGTTATAAATCACAGTAACTAGTTTACTAAAGGCTGAGTCATGCATGATATTGCAAACAGGAACACTTGGTTCCTACCAGGCATGTATAGGCCTACTTTACAAATTGCTTAAAACCACGAGCATGAAATTATTAATTTTACAAAAAAACTATAGTGAACAAATAATGAATGGTGGGAAACAAATCTATCTTCTGACCTGTGACAGGTGGCAGACTGGGTGGTAATGGACCTGGAGGTGGCACAGGGGGTCTGAGATTCCCAGGTGGGGGAGTAAGAATCGGAGGAGGTGGAGGCAGTCCAGGAGGAGGCGGTCCTTCAACAACAGGCGGCTGTGCTGGGAAAGGCAGCATGCCTGGCAAATTCACATCTTCTACAACTACAGGGTCACTTCCATGATCAAAAGGACACATGTCTCCTCTCATACAAAACCCCTTTTCTGTAAGTAAAGTATCATTAGAAATAAATGCAAAAAGCTCTGGAAATATAAACTACCTCTGAGCTAACAAATGATATCAAAAATAAGATTATTTTTAATATTGGGCAAAATTATAATTTACATTTTTACAAGAGCTCTCTTCATTCTTAATATAAGCTATTATCAACTAATATTCTTTACACAATAAAAAGAAAGTTGAAATATGCATACTCATAAGTAAGTAAAATAACGAACATGTAACTTTTGGGAAATATGCCAAATTATATAATACACCAATTACTTAACTATCTCATTTAATACTAAAACCATACTGCAACTATGATTTCAGTATTTATAAATATAATCTTTTATAGTAAATCCTTAAACGTCTTTAGTTCTCATTGAAAAAAAATCTTACATGGGTCCTAAATATATTTCAATAATCACTGATTTCTAAAGAATGATTTAATTGAAAATACTTAAGTGAACAGATTCTTTGAAAAGTAACTCAGATGTTATTGACTCTTATTTGATCCAATAATATTATAAACACAACCTAAATTGTTAACAGCAGTGGAAGATGATGATATGGAATTCACTAAGTAATCTCTCCTTTCCAATATCACAGATAAACTCCTCACGGATAATCAGACAATCTAAACAAATACTTTAGACAGAAACTTGTACAAAATATATATGTACAAAACATATACACACAAAATAAATTAGGCAAGATTACAAGAAAATACATCACACAAGAGTTAAGTGACTTACCATCATAATCTCTACACCGTTTCTTTGGCATCGGTGGCCTTACATAAGAGTTGTGATCTACCTGGTCTTCATGAAATTCAGACCAACTTTCGGTAGTGTTGTTACCATGATGAGTAGGAGCAATTACGGTAATGGTGCTGCTCAAAGTAGGTACGGGATAGTGACCAGATGAAATATTGGACACTGAAGAGACTGGTGTATAATTATTCTCTAGTGGATCTGTTCTATCTAGGTCGTATTTAGGTTTCACCAGGTCCCTTTCTGCAATAAAATATAAACAACTTGTAAAACTATTTCTTAAAAGGAAAAAATACCAGGTATAAAGAAAGCAATAGTTTTTGCTAAACACAGAAAACAGACTAAACTTTGAACAAACATTCTCCTTTTAAATGTCACTTAATAAATAGCTCACTGATCAAAGTACAGAACATAAGTGACTGTAAATTCACTCCGTCCTTCCCGGGACAGTTATATCACAGCTGTGCTACAAAAGATTCAAGAACACTGGAAGAGGAGGCAGAAAGATTGGAGGAATCAAAGTTCAAAGAGATTACTAAGAGCCAAAACTAAGGGAAGCCTGAGGAAAACTGTCTTCTAGATAGGTAAGTCCACCGCAGTCATAAAACTCACAGCCAACGCGGCTGCCTGCAAATCACGCCAGTCAGCAACACTCAGCAGAGAGAGAAAGAGGACTCAGGAGGAGGCCCCTGCTGCTGATGGCTGCAGGAGCAGGGAGTGTTAGTTTACTTCAATAGTATGGCCTATGTCATGTTGGCTGTGCTACAGTGGATGGTGACCTACATTCATGCACATATAACTTGATCTATGTAGTGAATTCAAGGACAACCAGAGCTACATAGTGAGACCATGTCTTGAAAATAAATAAATAAATAAATAAATAAATAAATAAAATCTTTAAAAGAAAGTATCCACAGAAACAAATGGAGCATGTCTACTCAGAAGGCGAAAGTGTGCAAATCTCTGGATGTTTGAGAATACCCTGGTGTATACAGCTAGTTCTAGAACAGCCAGGCTACACACTGAGGACTTGTCTCCAAAAGAAAGAAAAAAAGGCATTCTCAAAAATAAGAAACATAAAAGACAATACATTAAGCAGTACAGAAGGTTTTCCCAGTAAAGAACTGCAACCAAATCACAAACACGTGGATTACCAACCCCGGCTTCGCGTCCTGCTCCTCGTCCTGCTTCTATCTCTGTCCCTGTCCCGAAGTCTCTCTTTACTCCAGCTTCGACTTCTACTCCTGCTGTAGCTGCGACTTCTCCCACGCCTTCTGTTATATCGGTCTCTGTATGAATCTCTTCGAGGAGGGTTTCGATCATAATCTCTTTTTCGAGAACGATCATCTTTTTTCCTCTCATCACGGCTTCTAAAAAATATATCATAACATTTAACATTTATGTGAATAATGCCGAAGTAAATATAAAAGCCCCCCCAAATATGTAAGTTATCTTACTATCATAGTAAGAACAAAGGCAACACCAAAACTCAAAACCTGAGTTTACTTATATTCTAAAAGCTTTTAAAAAGAAAAATCAAACTTATCTCTTAATTCTTAAGTGTCATGGTATAATATCTATACAACTATGTATCTACACATACAGACACCTACACACATCTTATTACAAATAGTTTATACAAATAGTTTAATCACATTTGCAAGTATCACCTGTATCATATTCTGAACACTTTGGAAGCATAGTGGGAAAAATAATTCACTCACACTAAAAGGAAACTTCAAGCCCCCACCCCCACAACAACAAAAACTCAAAAAACAAAGGCCTAACATTTTCCAGGTTGTTAACTCGTTTATTATTATATTGTTATTATTTGAGACAGAGTCTTACTGAATAGCCCAGATTGGCCTGCAGCCCAAGGCTGGCCTTTAACCCAGAGATCCACTGCCTCTGCCTCCTGAGTGCTAGGATTAAAAATGGTTGCCACCATATCCAGCCCTATTTTTATTATTACTATCATATACTCATTACTTATTTTCATATACCATGTTTACTTATAAATGTACATATATTTACTATACTCTTAACTTACTGGAATTATATTACCCTTTTCTGACTTGAATATGGACATTCTTCTCTTCCCTCCTCCCCAAACATTCCTTCTAGAGTCATTATTTGAAGTGTTAACACTTTATATCTCCAATCCTTTGTGCTTATAAATAAATGACATCCTCTATAATGTAATAAATGAATCTTGATGAGTTATAAAAAGAAAAAGCACAAAATAAAATTTCTCACTAAGAGGCACTGTATTGAAGTTAGGAAAAGCAGTAACAATAGCAATTACTATAAGAAGCACTGTTCTAAGAATCACTCCCAGCATACACATCACAACTAGATGTTCTTGGTACAAAGGACCTAGCTCTACTTCCCTAGAGCAGTGTGAGCAGCAGAGCTGGGTGTGACGATGGAGTGTGCCACCACAATGTGAGCCTAGCGCTCAGGAGGCACAGGCAGGATTTGCCAGAAGTTATATGCTACTAACTGGCAAGGTCCTGTCTCCCCACACCCCAACCCCAAAATCCAAAAGGACAAAGCAAATGCAAATACTACTTGTTCCTTTGGAAAATATAGTCAGTCTAAATAATAAAAACTAAAATCTTTAAGAATGTCTCAACACATCACCTATTGTCTCTGTATCTGGAGCTTGACTGGGGAGGACTGTGATTCAACCTTCTAGAAAACTTCTTCTCTCGCTCTTCCTCCTTTGTGAGCTAATATTAAAAAAAAATAGGACAACTTTACCAACAGCAATTCTCTGTTATGTTACTATTTCAATTAACATTAAGCTTAATTTATAATAGACAGAAAATTATATTCAAACAAAATTAATTTTTCTGCCAAATACAATCCGTTAGCTGTAACGGGTAAACTTAAAATGAATAATAAAGTCATAAATCCCTACTTTAGATAATACTGACAAGAAGATACTTTAAGTAAATGTCTTTGTTTTTACATATAAAAACCAATTTTACTCCTTGTTTCAAAAGTCTAACATACATTCACACTTTCTGTTTTCTGGATTTGGTCTCATATCATAGAACAGGAAACATATTAGTACTAATCAAGTGATTAAAAAAAGAGAGAATACACGAGAAAATAATATACAAAATCAAACAGTTCTCTGTCTATTTAGAGCATGATATTAGTTATATACTATTTCCTAGAGGACTCTATTCATGTTTTACAGCTACTAGAAAGCAACTACAAGAATATGCCTTTAGTCATTGTTATACTATCCAAATTATATTTTCCACAATACTGACTCCATAGAACAATAATATGTCATTAGAAATAATTTAGAAATGAAACAAATTCAAGATATTGTTAACAAATTCTATAAATATGTCAGGGCTTTGAAGATTGTGTATTTTAAGTAAGAACATAAAGAAATTCTGATGCAGACAAGCTATAAGTACACATATCCAAGTTTATATCAGCCTTCCTTCCTAGCATCTACTTAAAAAAAAAAAAAGCCACAGGTACAAAATATGCCATATGAATTAATGACTGGAGCCATCAGGACACAGGAACCGAGGAGCAGCCTGGGACAGGATTTTTCTGGTTTCCATCTGTGCCCAGAGCTGACCCTGTGCCACAGCTCTCCATGTCCAAATTCCACTGGGAGAGAGCTGGTCTCCCAGGAGTGCTGACACACAGGCAGGAGGGACAAGCCACAGTCAGAAACAGCAAGACCAGCTAACACAGGATGGCAAGAGGCAAGGGCAAGGGCAAGAACATAAGCAACAGAAACCAAGGCTACTACTACTTGGCATCATCAGAACCCAGTTCTCCCACAATAAGCCCTGCATAACTCAGCACTCCAGAAAAGCAAGATTCTGATTTAACATCACATCTCATGATGATGATAGAGGACTTTAAGGACATAAATAACTCACTCAAAAATATACAGGAGGACAGAGGTAAACAAGTAGAAGCCCTTAAAGAGGAAACATAAAAATCCCTTAAAGAACTACAAGAGAACACAACCAAACAGGTGAAGGAATTAAACAAAACCATCCAGGATCTAAAAATGGAAATAGAAACAATAAAGAAATCACAAAGGGAGACAACCCTGGAGATAGAAAACCTAGGAAAGAGATCAGAAGTCATAGATGGAAGCATCACAAACGGAATACATGAGATAGAAGGGAGAATTTCAGATGCAGAAGATACCATAGAAAACATTATCACAACTGTCAAAGAAAATGCAAAATGCAAAAAGCTCCTAACCCAAAAAACGTCCAGGAAATCCAGGACACAATGAGCAGAAAAAAAACTAAGGATAATAGGTACAGATGAGAGTGAAGATTCCCAACTTAAAGGGCCAGTAAATATCTTCGACAAAATTATAGAAGAAAACTTCCCTAACCTAAAGAAAGAGAAACCCATAAACATACAAGAGGCCTACAGAACTCCAAAAATTGATTGGACCAGAAAAGAAATTCCTCCCTCCCATCACATAACAGTCAAAATACCAAATGCACAAAACAAAGAAAGAATATTAAAAGCATTATGGGAAAAATCTCAAGTAACATACAAAGACAGACCTATCAGAATTACACCAGACTTCTCGCTAGAAATTCTAAAAGCCAGAAGACTCTAAGAAAACACAAATGCCAGCCTAGGCTACAAAACTCTCAATTAATATAGACGGAGAAACCAAGCTATTCCATGACAAAACCAAATTTACACAGTATCTTTCCACAAACTCAGCCCAACAAGGGATAATAGATGGAAAACTCCAACACAAGGAAGGAAACTACACCCTAGAAAAAGCAGAAAGTAATCTTCTTTCAGCAAACCCAAAAGAAAATAGCCACACAAACATAATTCCACCATTATCAACAAAAAAATAACAGGAACAATCACTGTTCCTTAATATCTCTTAACATCAATGGACTCAATTCCCCAATAAAAAGACATAGACTAACAGACAGGATACATAAATAGGACCCAGCATTTTGCTGCATACAGGAAACTCACCTCAGTGACAAAGACAGACACTACTTCAGAGTAAAAGGCTAGAAAACAATTTTCCAAGCAAATGGTCCCAAGAAACAAGCTGGAGTAGTCATTCTAATAGTGAGTAAAATCGACTTTCAACTAAAAGTTATCAAAAAAAGAGAAGAAAGGACACTTTATACTCATCAAAGGAAAAATCTACTTACAAACAGGTATTTAGGACACCTAATAGAAAATTTCAGAAAAAAAACTCAACTGATTATTTCTTCTGTGAACTTAAGGAACCAACACAGTATAACAAATTCTCACCTCTTCTTTTTTTATATCTTTTTCTTGGTGCTGAAGAAAGTCTACCTTTAGGCTTCCTGACGATGGCTGCTCTGGAGGAGGTAGATAACTCTTTGTATTCACAGCATCAAAAAGTTTTTCAACAAATATTTGTGTCTCTAAAAATAAAACCAAAGATTCACAGATCAAAAGATATTTAATAAGATCTTAATTCCCCAATTCTATGCATTAAGCTTCTCAACACCCTGACCAATAGCTTGCCAAGCCGTGTATACTGGTACAAGCTTCATGACAATCATTCATCATTCAAGTTTCAAGAGTAGAATGACAAAAGGCTGTCAGCCACCTGCTTCCATCCAAAACTACTCTGACACACAGCATATGCAATATATAGACACAAATACTAGCCATTATGTGGGAAAAGTACAACATACAAAGGTTGAAAACACGTCCTATAACAACATTCTAAGAAGTTTCTTCAGCGCTGTCTTAAACAGCGGATCACTTTCTTAGTACATTAATGTATATTACAAAATAAGCACAAAACACTGAGGGAGCAAGCCAGATATATAAAATCAGGAGCGTGGGTTCAACTTTGTTACAGCTAAAAGCTTTTTTACAACTAGAGGTTTAATTTTTTTAACAGTCTGTATATAACTTACTCAATATTTTAAACCAAAGGTATTACCTTTCTGAAGAAATACATCAAGCTGATCAATACATAACGCCTTTAATTCTTTTTCACTTTTGTCTTTCTTTACCAGAGCCAAAACATATTTTGCTAGGGCTGATGGATCAGCATCACAGCTAAAGGAAAAAAAAATAATGCTGAGTAAAACTTAGCCATAAATGACTTCATGATCTATAACTGAGTTAAAATTTGCAAAATATGATATATAATTTATATATGTAAAAACACTAGGTTCATGAAAGGCCCTGATGAATATATTTTCCTTATGTTACCATATTTTAAAAGTTCTATCTCTTCTTAAAATCATATCACTGGGGCTGGTTTCAGAAATGGAATAGTGGTTAAAAGCACTTGTTCTTGCAGTTCCTAGATCAGTTCCCATTATTCACCTGAAGACTTGTAACTGTCTAGAATTCCAGCTCAAAAGGATCTGATACCTTCTTTTGATCTCCAAGGTCACCAAGCATGCATGTGATACACACATACACAAATGCAGACAAAACACTCCATACATTAAATATATATATATATATACATGTGTATATACATACATATATAAAAAAATTCCCAAATGTAAAACCACAGAAAAGAATGTCTAAAAACTGGCTAAAATGTATTATAAGTATTAAATATATTATATTTAAATTTATAAAGATAGTGTTCAAATCAACAAAGAAAAGAACTTACATGCCAGTGGTATTCAACTATCTTTTAAAAACTAGATTCAAAACATCACATTAAATATGAAACTAAAACCATGAACCTACTACAGAAAATCACTGGCATTAGAGAAAAATGAGAGACAACACAAGTCTTGTCAGGAAAGAGTACTATCACTGTATAAAAGCACAACCTTCAGATGAGAAGAATCAAGAAAACTAGGACTAAAATCGCAACAGCTACAACAGTGGCTCTCAACCTTCCTAATGCTGTGCCCCTCATGTTATGGTGACTTCCAACCATACAACTATTTTCATTGCTGCTTCATAACTGTAATTTTGCTACTGTTATGAATCTTGATGTAAAAGTCTGATCTGCAGAATATCTGATATGTGACCCCTGTGAAAGGGTCCTTCAACCCCTAGAGCGGTTGCCACCCACATGTTGAAAACTCCTAGCACTAAGTTTCTATAACTAAGATCAACTCTGTTCTGTAACCAAGGCAGGGAGTTAGGGAAGAATGTCCATTTAAAGAGAACTGGAAAAATTAATTATATTAACTGCACATACGAGAATGACAGAAAACATGGTACTCAAATAAGAATATACTTAGAAAAAGCAAAGTATAGAAAAATATCAATGTACTACCATTTATAAGGAAGAGATGATATATATGGATTGCTACAAATAAACCATACATATACATAAGTATAGCCTAATAATTATGGTAACTTGTGTGAGGAAATGATGGCAGAACCCAAGTAAAGGAGAGACTAGGTCAGAAAGGGAGATCTGCATCATGTTCATCCAATTCAAAAAAGCAAAGAATTCGTAAACTAAATAAAACATGTTATTTAATTAAGGATCACTTTACAAATTTCACAACAAAATAATAGCAATAACTAACTTTACTGAACCCATGCTGCTCCATAAGAGGCTTGACCTACATACTATTATTTGGAAAGCTCTTCTCACTGAAGAAACTGAGCAAAAACAAAACAAAAACAGCTAAGAGCCAATATTTAAGACTAAAACATTCTACTCTAAAGCTCACCTTCTGGTCAATGTGTAACTCCCTATTTGTGGGGCAGTGAATCATGCCACCAGACAGAAGAACTGGTAAAGTAGTAGCAAGTTCAGATCCCCAGCAATTGAGAACCACAGGAATTCGAACTAGCTCCCAACCAGGTTCCTGTCCTGGAGCACATGACCGAGACACCCCAGTAAGAGGACCACGACAACCAGTCATATAGCATAGAATCTATAGAGTTCTCCATGCTAGTGAAGCATCTAGATAGACCCCAAGTGTTCACCCAATGAGCTTCCCTTCCTGGGCATTCCGTCCTGCAAAAGATATTTAATCTCTGGTTCACTCTGAGTAAGATGAATGCACCTTTATCCAACATGAATAAAACAGTTCAGACAAGCAAGTACTGTTGCCTTTATCAAAGACAGATGAGAGAGGAGTCCTTCGTTTTAAGTCTCCCATAGAAAGCCTCTCCTAGAAGGCCCCTCTGTACTCCTCTCACTCAGAGCTAAACTGGACTGCTCCTACCCCCCAACTCTCTTCCCAACTTCTCATGGTCCCCTGGATACAAAAGTTTGAGAACCACACAGCTTCCATCACAAACTCCTTCCCCCATGCTGTTTGTTACTGGAGAAACATGGACTGCGACCCCTGTCCTAGACTGCATTTGTTTCACCTCTGGAGCTGCATATCACTGGCTTTCAGATACCCCAGAGACAAGGCAGAAACTCAGAAGGATACCCCTTTGCAATGAAATGCTCAGAAACCAGATAATCAACTCCTCATTTCCCTAAATGTCTAGCATTAACAATCACAAATTCCTATCCATCTCCCAGATTATTTTCTGTAAAAGCCCTTTGTAGCTTTACCTCTAGATAACCTTAGCTGCAACCGAAGGCAGTTTCCTTAGCTCACATCCTGCACTCTACCCTTCTCAGCTTATTTTCAAAGACCATTATTTCACAAAGCATCTAAATTCCTCAGATCCTCACACCCATGCCCTTGCTTCCAGGATCCTTTTAACATTCTTATTTATTTATTTATTTATTTATTTATTTATTTATTTATTTCCAGGACAGACAAAACTACCTAAAAATAACTCTGTCTCCAAACAAACCAAAAATACAAAGTGCCTGTTGTACAAGCCTGAAGACCTAATTTCAGATATCTAGTACCCACACAAAAAAATAGTGAAAGGAAACAAACAAACAAACAAATAAAACGCTGGAGTGAAAAGGGCACTGTGGCATCCCTAGCTTGTTCTCAGTCATCTTTCTAGAGAAATCATATGCAATGTCAAGGGGCACTCAAGCAGTATCATGGAGAATATCCCAGGGCAATTAAATGGGGTTACAAGGCAGTAGCAGTAAGAAACTGCTGATCCTTTCAAACTTGCAAACAGTACATGTAATGAGCCTCCAAGCAAATTCTGAAGTCCCAAGAGAACTTACATTTTATCTCCAACAAAGGAACTGACTACAATCCAATGAGAAGACAGAAATAGCCAACTAATCTAATCCTAAATACCTGACCTATAAGACTGAGATCATAAATGCCTACTTTGTTGTTAAGTTCCTGGATAACTTGCTACTCAATTACAATAAATCAATGTTGCTCATAAAACTACTTCCATTTTTAAAAAGCCTTTAAGTTAGTTGTAATCTAAATGTGGGGGGCAGGAGGCATTGGTACACGAGAAACTTTATGAAAACTTCCTTTCAAAACTTACTTTGGGCTAGAGAAATGGGTCAGTGGTTAAGAGCATTGGCCATTCTTTCGGAGAGTCACAGATTGATTCCTATTACGCACATGGTGGATGACTTCTTGCAAGGCTCAGAACTGAGTGAAAGCACAATTAATGACTATTTGGGGAAAAGACAGCCCAAGCCAGGAGAGCCCAACAGAAAGAGCCCAAGGTGGGAAAATAGCTGATACCAAAGAAAGATTCCAGTGAAATGGAACAAAATGAACATAAAACATCCCATGAGATTAACAGCTTCAGTGACTTTTGACAAATTATTCAGATCAATATAGTCATTCACAAAAGTACTTAAAAGCCAAAAAATAAAACTTCATCACTATCTGAATATACTTTAATACAACTAATAATGTTTTTATTTTTTAATAATAGTGGAGCTAGAAAGGTCCACAGGTTCTGCATGTAAAGGTAACTCAGTACTCTAATTGCCACACTCACACAATACCAAACGTGTCCATACACATATATACAAAAAATAAACATTTTGAAAAATGTAAAAAGAAAGCATGGGGTAGCTATTAAGAGGAGTAATCTCTTCTAGATAGGTAAGGACAAACCTGTATACATCAAGTCAGAGATTTAAAAGAAATAGGTAAATTTAATAAAATTCTTTAATGTCTTAATAATTTAAACTGGAATCAACTGAGCCTAAAATAAAGCTGCAAGCAATCCTCTAAAATGCGTATACTATTTTTATTTTAACTTAAAATGTAAGATTTTCAAAATGGTATGACAGTATAGAAAACATTGTTCCACTGTAATATTTTTTCAAGATACTTGTCTGTTCAACTATCCTGACTCTTTTAGAATTTAAGTGGAAGATAGCTAATTTGGAAGAATTTAACCCAAGCTTCCATTTTTAATAATCTTCAAAGAGAGAAGCTGAAGGTTACCTGGACTAGGAATTAAGAGAAATATATTAATTCAATAGCTTTTAGAACCTAGATACAAAACCACATCTGTTCTGATCAATTTTTATTTTATATTCATGAAAAATATCTAATTTGCATCAAGTCATAATTCTACATTCTATACTTAGAATTACTCTTTCAAAAACACAAATTTCATTAAAATTTAATTACTATAGCTTATTATAGCTCTTCATTCAATTAAATAAAGCAAAAATATTTGTATAATTAACTTACAATAAAGACTATTCATTAAGAATTATAAAGCACCTGCAATTTGTAAAACATAGTCTACATAATCACCAAAAAAAAACTTTTTTAGTTATATTAATTGTAGACTTCACTATGACTTTCACATTTGCCTAATGTATAATTTGAGTGTATTTACTCCACTTCCCTCTCTCACACACTTTCTAGTCTCCTCCTTCTTCCTAGATATGGCCCTCCTACCTTTATGTTTGGTTTTTAAATGTAGATTCCGCATAACACAGAAAGGTAGTAATAATTTCTTCCCAGGTCCAGTTTACTTCACTTAACATATGTTCTTCAGTCCTACCCATCTTCTAGCAAATGCTTTAATTTTGTTCATTTTTGTTCATTTTATTGCTAATAACTTAGTATTTGTATAAATATCAAATTTATCTACTCATCTGCTGATGCTCTAATTTAGCTACAGTAATTATTTCCAATATAAAAGGAGCATTCCAAGTATCACTGTTGATTTTGAATATATACCAAGAAGTTGTACAGGAAGACCGTATG